CGCGCCAGAGGCCCTAGAGGCGGGGAGTATTGGCACGGTGCAGCCGCCCCACAGTGGGCCAGAAGACCGGCGGAGGCGGCCAAAACTCGAAACGCGTTTTGAGCTCCACAGTCTCAAAGCAGGACTTAAACCGAACGTGTGACCCCACCAATGGATTCCTCGTTCGGAGAGCAATCCATTGGTGGGGTCACACGTTCGGTTCGAGTCCCATTTAGCGACTCTGGAGCTCAAAACGCGTCCGGGATTTTGGCCGCCTCCACCGGTCTTCTGGCCCACTGTGCGCCGCTGGCCGTGTTTGTAGCGTATTGGATCAGCGCGGTGCACATCGGCGCCCCGAGGCAGTGGGCCGAGTCCGAGCGTCGCGCTGTCTCTCTCTTCCTCGCGCTTCGTGCGGGGGTGCGAGAGAGACAGACACATTTCGGAACCGCTCTGCAGACGGGCGCCAGCCTCCGCCCGAGTCCCCGCCGGCAGGCTGCTTCCGAACGCTGCCTTCTGTCTCTCTCGCACCCCCAGGGGACGGCCGGCGAGTGCGAGGGAGGCAGCGCGCCGTTGGGACGCGGCCTCCAGGCGAAGAAGGCCGTATCGGCCGCCGCCCGCGCCACTGGCGGCAGAGCAACGGGGAACAACGCGCTGCTCGATCGCTGTGGAGGTGTCAGTTATTTCGCTGAGAATTTCGTCATTACTTTGGTTCGGCAGCCCGTGAAACAATGCAGCGGGCCGGGGGGTGTTGAGAAATGGTGCTGGCGGGGTACCTCGACGCGCGCCTCCGTCACCGAGACCGTCACCGAGGCCGTCGCGCACCCGGCCGAAGGAAAGAAGCGGAATGGAGAGGGGCGAGGAGAGAAAACGAAGAGGATGGCGAAGGCGATCGAGAAGTTGAGTCACGAAATAAAGCCGTGGCTTCGTTTTGCTTCGCCGCTTCGCCTCCACCCCACGCGCTGCCGCAGTGGATTCGAGCACTGGCCAAAAGGTGAGCCAGTCTTTGCAGCTACTGTATCCCTCCGGAGCCACTGCTGCACCAGTGATCTCTGAAACCTGTCCTCGGGTTCGAATCCACTCTGGTGCGCTATTTTTTTTTGTGACCGCAAGCATCGCGCAGTAAACAAAACCAGCCGCGGTGCTTCCGCAGCGCAGTGTGTTGTCCGCGACCTCGGTGGCATTTGTCATACGCCCCGAATGAATGGAGCCAGAGGATTCGCCTGTCCGGGGCTCGGGTTCGATCCCCACCCTCTCCACGTTTTTTATGTGTGTTTGTTTGCTGCCTTTTTTTTCGTCGTTTTGGCTAGACTGGTATGTGCGACAAGCAACGCGTGGCTGAGCTAACGAGCTCTTCGGTCGGAGGTTCGGGTTCCACTCCCACCGGAGCTGCCGCAAAAAAAAAGGAAAACTCAGCATTAGCGGTTTGCCGCGTTACGACCTTCGCGTTTGTTCCAATACATAATGAACATTCCGGCGTCAGTGCGCGAGGGAAGAGCGCTGCGGGGCGGAAAGAACGTCTGTGTCTGCCGGTGTCTAAGCGACGTCACTTAGAGCGATGCGCCGGGCCGCCTGGGCCACCACCCCGCCTGGCCCGCGACAACCGAGTCCCTTTTCCGGCCTCTTCTTCGCACATCCATCAACGTACTCCCCCCCCCCCCAACTACTTCCCCCCCCCCCCCCCCTTTTGCCACAGAAAGGACCAAGGGGCAGCCTAGGGCAGGCTGGAGGCTCCATGGAGCAGTTGCGGGTGAGGGTAGCCTAGGTCCAGACAACGACGTGCCCTTTCGAGCATGGGGAGGCTACCATGATTTTGAAAGAAAAAATCTCATTCAACGAACGTTGATGAAAGCAGATGATCCGTCGCGTTTCACAACTGCTGTGATAGCCGAGAGGTTAGAGACGTGGGATCGAGATACCGCAGGCCGGCGTTCGAATACCAGCGTCACAAAAGTTTTTTCGACTTGCTATCCTAAGGGTGGTGGTTCGAGGCCATGAGAGCGGAGCCGTGTGCAACAGGCCCACATGCCGGAGGTTCGACTCCTAACAAATATTTCCATTTAATTTTACTGCCTCACCCAGTGCGGTTCAAACCCGTAAACGTGAGCCCACTCCGAGCATGGGACGTGGTGGTCCAGGGAGTAGAGGCGTCGGTTCTCGGTGCTAGGGTCGGCGGTTCGACTCCCCGTAGTTTCTTGCGAATTTTGACCGGGTCGGTCGAGTCCTGTTGCGTCAAGTAACCCACCTCACGCCGATCCCCTCATAAATGGGTTCGTGGTGGCCGAGAGCGTAAAGTCGTGTGATCCCGATGGTGGGGTCCGGGATCGATACACCATCATTTCATTACATTTTTCAACCGCCTTCCTCCCAGTGCAACCTCAAAAACCCCCCGTCGTCCAACACGCTGCCAGAACCCGTACAAGCGTGATAGCGTAGTGGTCAGAGTCACATTCACCTGGCCACTCCGCTGTGGGTGTCTAAAAAGCAATCCGCTTCGGCGGGTTGGCCTCGGCACTGGAGCGATGGAGTATTTGATCCATCAATCCAGACCATCCGGTGTGTGGTTGCGGGTGGTGCCTCCTTGACTCGTCGGGGAGGCGATGATAAGTCCTTTGAAGCTGGCCTAAAACGCTGTATGTTCGGTACGGGAGCGCCGGACAGTGGGGGTACCATGGGGTACACAACCAACCCTACGAAAACAAGAAGCTCCCACCAAACCTCTTCTCTGTCTGAGTCTCTCTCTGTCTCTCTGTCGTCTCACTCTACGTCCCGCCCCTCAAAGAGCTTCGTACTGGGTGCTCTCACCCTACTGCCTGAGCTTTGGGGTCCTACTGGGTCCCCCGGCGAACGCTTGGGTCGCTGACGGGATTAACCCCAGGTACCTGATAGCACCGGTTCCCATCCCGAACACCGAAGTAAAGCAGGAGGCCTCCCCATTAAGACTGGGGAGGGGGTGTAGAGTTCAAATTTTTTCTGTTCCCTTTCATCAAATTTATCAATTCATACTCGTTTGGTTTCCTGATGCGACACTGTAAGTTGGTGCGACTTGATTACAAATTAGTTACTACGCTAACCTAGGTCGCCACCGCGAGCGTGCGGCGGCTCGGCGCGCGCAGCGCCATCTCTCGGCGACTCGCGGAACCTCGTCCGCGCGCGCGGCGAGTTTGAGCGGTGACAACCTTCATGTGTATAGTAGTTTTAAGTATGTTTCAAGTGTGAAGGTATCATCTGCTAAGAATGTTTTATGTTCACCGCCCGAACCTATCCACACAATCCGAGTCCGCCGCTATCGTCCGTGTGTTGTGTTGTTGTCCGTGGCACATCTCCGACGTGCCCTTTCGAGCGGGGGGTGGGGGGTGGGTGGCTGCCATGCGCGCCGTGTCTTCCGTGGGAACGCTTTGCCATAATGCGCCTTACTGTTTCCACGCGATTCCAGCCGCGCCTCCCGTCGCCCTGCCCCCCCCCCCCCCTCCACCTTGTCCCGGCAGACTTCCTCCCTGCTCCGCGACCGCCGCGCGCCCCTCCAAATGATATTCGTACTCCTCTATTGCCCCGCACGCCCCCCGCGACACAGAGACATACAACGGGTGAGACCCCTTCCCCCTTCCCCCCGAGGCGGGCTACAATCTATCAAACTCATGTCTCCATAAAGGAAGAGGTGCTCCCGGCGCCTCTCTCTCTCTCTCTCTCTCTCTCTCTCTCTCTCTCTCTCTCTCTCTCTCTCTCTCTCTCTCTCTCTCTCTCTCTTCTCACTTCTCACTGCGCGGCCCGTGTGGGTGCGAGAGAGACAGCGACGCGACGACGGCACAGCCTGCCGGCGCGATGGCTGAGCAAACGCCGCGGATTCCTCCCCCTCCTCTCCATCATCGGAAAACAATTCCGTGCGAAAGCGAGACGGAGGCCTGGCGGGCCTGGCGTCGGCGCGGCGTCGCGACGTCAGTCATTTTCTAAGCAAAACAAAATTGCAGGCTCTGTCTGACTGCCGCCAGCAATGCCCGAGCGAGCCCGAGCCAGCCAGACAGTGAACCCAAACAACTGCCCCGGGAAAGCGGCGGGCCCGGCACACTAGGCTCACACCAGCCTGGCACCGGCGCTCCGCAGCCCGCCAATAGCATGCTTCCGTTTTGAATTTCCCGCCAAAAAGGGACGCCCGCCTTTGGCACGCCTTTGGCCGCCCGGGCTCCGCAGAGCCCGCCTGTGCGGACTCCCTTTCTCTGTTGTGACAGCGGGCGGGCCGAGGCGGGCGAAGAGAAAAGCCCTCGCGATTAATCTATCCCAGTTTCGTTCGTCGTTTACAACCGGAGACCCGCTGCGTGGATACACTGTAATAATCCCAAAATAAAAGAACAAACAACAGGCTGCCGAAAGCGCAAGAAAACCCAGAAGCAAACAACTCTGAGAAGAATTTCAAAATGAGTGAATAACCCCCGATTCTCCCTCCTGCAGGTGCGTCAGTGCACAGTGCTGCCACACTGTGGCCGATAAAGAAGTCGGGTCGGAAGGTTGGAACAGGGTTGGAAGGGTTGGTAGGGGTAGCGCGGCGTGGAAACGACCCCAAAGCCAAGAAATCGGACTAATAAGGTGGGGTGGGAGTCGCGGGACCCGCCCAGCCCATGCCGTGTGGAGGTTCGCGACGCAAGGGGCGGGGCAGGCGGAGGGGGGCGCTACGCTACGCGGGGCCCGCGGGGCTACGGCGGCCTAGGGGGATGGTATGGGTGGCGCAGTCGCCAGCCAGCCCCCGTACCTGTACGTGCAAGGCAGCGGAGGGTTTCTGCAGCCCCCTGCAGCCCCCTGCAGCCCCTGCAGCCCCCACCCCCAGCCGCCCGTCGGCCCCGACCCCGTCGAGCACGGCGTCGAGCACGGCGTCGACGGCCTGCCCGCGAGCGTCCGCGACCACCGCGTCTTCTACTGCCTTGTTCACCGCGACGACCTCCGCGTCGACCACCGCGTCGCCGCGCGCGGCCGGCGCGATGCCGCCCGCCCAGGATGGCGACGGCGCGAGGTGTCACTGACGGCGTCCCCGACGGCGTCACCGACGGCGCCACCGTCCTGTCCCCCGTTCGTGTGCGCGGCGCCGCGACGGACGGGCTCGCTATGAGAGAGAGGACTTTGTGCACTCAGGATGCGGTGCGGCAGTCCTCTCCACTTCTTCTCGACCATCTTGACCCTGCTCAGGTCGGTCCCAAGTCAAGAAGCTTGGTGCACTGGAGGGCGCCGACGGTGTGCCCGTCGATGCTTCGCACAGCCCTGGAGTGGCCATCACCTTTCGATTGTCAAATCACAAACGAATTGCAAGTAACACATGTAAATCATGTAAATCGCAGCCACAAAAAAAAAGTTTTTAAAACATCTGGAGCCTTTACGCGGGATGTCCCGACAAAGGCCGTGATATTGACACTGCCCCATTTGACGCGCCCGGAACAAAGGGCGGTACTGCACTTTTCATGTTACTCCCGCACTTTATTGTTTTTGTTGTTACTTCCAGCGGCACCACCACGGCCACCGCCATCACCGGGACAGTCACCGAGCACAGCCTTAGATACACGAGCACGCTGCCGCCGATGTAAATATCGTGGACGATGTACGCGTGTGTGTGTTGTTGTTTGCTGTTGTAGGTTCGCAATAAACAATCCCTTGATCGCACGACTGGCACCCTGCCTGCCTCCTCCGGACACCGTTAATAATTCACCCAACGAAACCGCTTCTCCCGGCCCCGGCTTGGCTTGGCACCCGGGCAGCCGACGACGACCCGGTTCGCACAGTCTCCGTCACGGGGCGTCCCGCAGAGAGAGAGGGGCGGCCAGTGGCGACACTGAGTGATGACGTCACGACTTAGTTTGGAAAGGACCCGCAGTCCGTCCTGATGGATAGCGCAGGCCGCATCTGTGGGTGGATCCGGCCCGCCCTGCCGATCGCCGGTCATTTGTGCGCCAATTCGAGTAATTCAAACTTTTTCCCGCCAAAAGGAGGCGCTGTGATTGGCCGGCGCACCGTTTGCACCGCCTTGACTGCAACGCGTGCGCAGCCAGTGCACGCGCGGCCAGTGGCGTGCCTTGGCGTGCCGTGCGGTGCAAGCACGCGACCGGAGCCTTGTAGATGGCGAGGGTGTTGGCGACGGCCACCACGACGGCAGGCACGGCCACGGCACGCACCTGCTGAGCCAAGCGCTGAGCCTTACCCTAGCGCCCTGGCGTGCCGGGTACACTTGGCACACCACGCCGCCACGCACTGGGCGGCAAGGTCGCACACACACACTCACACACACGAGCAAAAAATAAAACTGTACGGGATTTGCCAGGAGGCGACATGCTAATGCCTCGCTCCGGAAAAAGCAGAAAACATACATAACGCGCGAGATAAGCGGTTTAAAAAAGACACCCCGGGGGTTTCATTTAAATGGCCGGGGGAGACACCCTGCGCGGAAAATCCGGGAACGACAGGAGCGTGTTGGAGGTGGCAGGTCTCTGCGGAGCGCAGAGATTCGTCCCATTTCAATCGAATGTCCTCGTGAGGAAAGGGGGTGGGTTTGAGGGGCACGGCGGCGGGGTGGCGTGGATTTTACACGCGGGAAGGTTAGGCCGTGCAGGGCAGCACAATGGGGCAGACGGCGTCAAAAGAACAGTGACCCGAAAATCCGGGGTCTATGTGGGCGGTGCGGTGGCCTTGGCGGCCGCGGTGGCCTTGGGCTCCTTTCGCCCAGCCTTTCGCCCAGCCTTTCGCCGCCTGGCCGTAAACTGCTTTCACACGGGGCTCATGACTGATGCCCGGGGCCGTCTGGCCGCCATTGAAGGCTGGCCCTGCAGGCCCTGGAGGCCCCGGAGGCCCTGCGCCACGCCGGGGGCCACGCCGGGGGCCACGCCGGGGGCCGAGCCGTCGGCACTAGGCCGGCCCGGTGCCCGCACTGTGATGGAGCGGCCCAATATGAGATCATCAACCACGCGGGCCCGGCGCGGAGACGCGAGGCCAACGTTACGCCTTCCCGCCAAATTGCAATTTCCGCCGATTTTGGCGACTCGGTCTGCGGAAATGCCCACTGTGGGTGGAGGTGTGAGAACCGCCCACGGATGAATCCGCGGTTCGACAAACTTTCAATGGTGCTCGGCCCGGCTCGGCCAGCGTGGCATTCCCCCAGGCACGCCTCGGGCACCGCGTGTCAAATAGAAATCCAGCGGCCGACTTTGCCGTCCCCGTGGGGCGGGGCGGGGCGGGCGGGCGGGGCGGGGCGGGGCGGGGCGGGGCGGGGCGGGGCGGGTGCGCGGCCTTGGTTGGGCAGCTCGGGGTAACTCCGACACGCTGCTGTTCGCTGCGCCCCGGTGCGCGGTGCGGTGCGTGTCTGCGTGTCTGCGGGACACTGGTTGCACGCATGCCTGTGCCCGCGCTGCCCGCCCCGGCCGCCCCGCCCCGGCCGCCCTGCCACCTCACCGCCTTGCACGGCCTTGGCACTGTTTTTCGCCTCATGAACGCGTCGAGCCCCGCCGGCAAGAAAGTTTCCCAGATTTGAGTCGCTGCGGTAAACGCGATAGCGCCGCGCGCGGTCTAGACAGACGGCGCGAACAGCCCGCCATTCCAACCCGCCATTCCAACCCGCTTCACCGTGGCCGAGCGCGTAGAGGCGTGAGTCAGCAATCTTAAGAACCTGAGTTCAAACCCAAATAAAGTCCATCGTTTTTCGTTTTCTTTTTTTTAGAATTCATGAAAGAAATTAGGTAAACATGGTAGTCGTCGACATTATTTTCATTTTCTTGTTCGCCATTGAAGGCCGCTGTCTGGCGAGCTGAGTCCTGGCGGGATCACCTCACCTGCACCCCGCCCATTCACACACGGTGTGCCCGTCTCTCTGAGAAGGTAATACGTCTGCGCGGTGTGGCGTCGGGCTCCCGGTCGGGCCGCGCCAAGCGGCAAAGCGCCAGCAGCGCGCCCAGTGGCTGCTTCCGGCAGGTCGCTCTGTCTCTCTCGCACTCTCGAGGGGCCGAGCCGGCAGAGCGACCAAGGCGCCCTGCTCGGAGTCGGCCTGCAGGCAAGCCCGGCAAGCCGCGGCGAACGGGCGGGGTCTCGATATCAAATCGATTCGCTTCGAGACTATCGAGGTGCGAGGACGCGCGTGGGCGGACGGGCACGGATTTGGCTGGAACAATGAAACGGCCTGTCTGTCTGTCTGTCTGTCTGTCTGTCTGTCTGTCTGTCTGTCTGTCTGTCTGTCTGTCTGTCTGTCTGTCTGTCTGTCCGTGGGAGGATAAGAATGCGTCACTCCCGGCCATGCCTCAAGGCTGGGTGATGGAGGTAATAGACCGCCGGCCCCGCGGTGTGTGCTTTTCTCTGTTTTCGTGTTTGTGTTGGCGGTCCGCGCGGTCCGCCAGCACCGCCTGATGTACGGCCGGATGACCGGCGGGTATCGCGCCGCTAAATCAACGTGAGGCAAAGCCAGGCAAAGCGAGGTCGCTCCGTCTCTCTCGCACTCGTGGGGCGTCTCGTAGGGGTGCGAGAGACACGGAGCGGCACGGTTCGGGAGCAGCCTGTGGCGCCGCCCCGATGCATCCCGTAATTCGCTTTTGCACCCCTGTGTGTTTATGTTGTCTGCCCGATTCGTTTCGCCGTTCGTCCTCGGTGTCGTCGTTTTTCGCCGTGCCACAGTTTCCATCCCTTGATCATGACGAGGACAGAGTTTCGGACGCCTCCACCGCTCTTCTGGCCCACTGTGCTGTCCGACTGGCCACCGTTCAGACAGTTGGTTGCCCGGCTTACCAAGTTTCTCTGCCCGCAGCTTCCTGCGTTTGACAACGGCCAAGGAGCTGTACGACCTGGAGACGGACTACAACCGCAACCTTCCACCAGGTGGGTACCGCGCGGCTAGGCGCTCTGTTTACCTCCCCCCCCCCCTTTCCATCAGAGGGAAAGCCTTTCGCGGCGCCGACCCATTAATCAGTCATTCCGACGCGGGGCGCGGATAACGCGCGCCAAATTTCCACACAGTGTGCGTGCGGCCCACGGCCCGCGCGCGGAAATTCAAATTGCCCATTTGGAGGGGGAGGGGGTGGGGAGGGAGCCCATCCACATGCTCTACACATCATGCGGCTGGAGGGGTGGGGTGGGGTGGGGGTGGGGGACGAGAGTGTATTTGTAGATGCCTCCACTGTGTGCCGGACGCACTGTTGGGGGTAAAAATTGGCCGTGCGCTGGTCTGGCGCTGCCGAGTCGGTCGGGGTGCCCGGGCCGGGCCGGCCTGGGGATGCGCCTTCCGACCGGGGAGGGGGGGGGAGGTTTGCGTCACCGGGGCCGCCTAGGGCCGCCGCGGGCGTAGCGCGGCATAGCGTGGCACTCCGTGGAGGAACAGGACTGCTAAGAATAGGCGGCACCGCCACACATTACAGTGGTGTGCACGTTCGGGGGGCGGTGGGGCAGGGTGGGGGTAATCCGGCCCGAGGGCCTGCTTGTTGCTGCTGCAGTGGCGCTATTTCCCCCCTCCCCCCCCCCCTCGTCGCCTCCAAGCCGCCGCCGTCGCATCGCGCGGCCCTTTCGCAGTGCAGTGCCGTGCCCGCCCTTGCAGTGAGTGCGCGCGGTGCACACTGAGAAAAACAACAACAAACAAGCAATAAATTGAAACAGACCCGCGCGGCGAGAGGCAAAAGTTTCTGACGGAAAATGTCGCCGTAAAGAGCCTGAGCGTGTGCCGGTGTGAGGGCGGTGCACAGTGGGGGAGGCGGTCAAAATCCCGGACGCGTTTTGAGCTCCAGAGTCGCTAAACAGGACTCGAACCGAACGTGTGACCTCACCAATGGATTACTCTCCGAACGAGGAATCCATTGGTGGGGTCACACGTTCGGTTCGAGTCCTGCTTAGCGACTCTGGAGCTCAAAACGCGTCTAGAGTTTGGGCCGCCCCACCGGTCTGGGTGGGGGCTCCACTACTTTGTTGCACCGAAGTGGCGCTGCCTCGTCGCCTCGCCGCCGCGCCACTGGAGGACGCTCCAGCACGCTCCAGCAGGCCCTAGGACCCTAGAAGGCGAGTTGAGGCGTCCGAGCGGCCGGGAATTTATTACCCCCTGCAGGGCCGGCTGGCGCTGCCGGCCTGCAGGGCTCCGTAAAGTTGGAGTTCCTCTTCCCCGACCGGAAACGCTTTGGGCCCTAAATGCCGTCAGGCCGTCGTTCGCGCCTCCGCCGCGCTCGGCCGCCGGCACATTGTTTTCGCTCGTTTTGAAAGGCAGAAGGGGGGAAAGTAGCGCAACCTGTCCTTCAGCGCGGCAGCGCGGCAGCGCGGCGGTGGCGGTGGAAATGCGCGACTTTGAAACGTCGTCAAACGAAAACAAAAGCGACTCTCATTTTCGAGTAGTGACGTTGAGTGGCGGCGGGGTGGGCGGCGTGGAGTGACACCCCCTTTAGATGGCGGGCCGCGATTTCGTCAACGCGGAGGGAAAAGGGGGGGGGGGGGAGGCCGCGCCCTACTCCCGTTGTTGATTTCCGACAAGAGATGGTAATCTCGCCGCCAAGCCGCCAAGCCCTGCCGCGCCTGCCGGCGATACGACTCGAGGAAGGGAGGGAGGGCGTTTCATCTTGGCCTCTGCGGCGGCCGTGAGGCGGGGCGGGGCGGCGCGGCGCGGTCGGCCGGGCGATAGTAAAATCCGCAGTCCCCAGCGCCGCCCCCGCCGCCCCCGCCACCGCCGCTCCAACCTGGCCGAGACCGCGTAACCGCGCGCCCCGCGGGGGCGTCCTTCCCGTCCGCCCCGTCCGCTCCGATCGCGTACAGACGGGCAGCAGAAGAGGGATTCCGAATGGCGCTCTGTCTCTCTCGCACGCGCACGCCACCCGAAGGGGTGCCCCGTGATTGCGAGCGAGACGGCGTGACGTTGCTCGGCATCAGCCTGCAGGGTCAAGGACTCGGCAGTTCGCGCCGCCGGCACCGCGGCAGCTTGCCGGGAAGTCGAAGTGCCCCCGCCCCGCCCCCACCCCCCCCGCCCCCCCGCCCCCCCCCGCCCCGCCCCGCCCCGCCCCCCCCCCCCCGCCCCGCCCGCCCCGACGCACCACCTGCCGCCCCGCTCGCAGCCTGGCGCAGCCTGGCATTATTTGATTAATTCGGCGCCGAGCTTGTTTTAACCTCGGTTAATTCCACTTGGCTGCGGACACCGCCGGGCACCGCCGGGCACCGCCCTCTCGCTGCTTGCCGAAACGCCGCGCTAAATATACACGTTTTCACGGGCGGCGGATCCTCCTGCTCACCCCCCTCCCCGCCCCCGTCCTGAGATACGGTGTGTAATCCCTCCCCGGAGGCTCCATGCCGCTCCATGCCGCGCCATGCCGCCGTGCTCCATCCCCGTCGCGGTCGTCTCGGTCGAGGCGGAAGAGTTGCGGGTGGCCTGCCCTAACGTCCGCAGGCGCTTGCGTGGGCCCCGCCCCGCCCATTGTGTCATTACTCCCCCCCCCCCCTGGAATGTGCGTGCCGCAGGAAGAATTGGCTGCCAGCCCGCCAGCCCCGCCAGCCCCGCCACGGTCCAGGCAATTTCCGGCACATCGTCCGACGAGCTTCACAAAGAGTCTCCCGTCTCGTTTCGTTACGCCGCCATACCGCGTCGGCGTCGTTGAGAAATTGCGTAATTTGCAGTGACGACACCGGTCGTTATCGGCAGGCGGTCGGGTGCCCGCGCGGTAGACGAGGACGACGACGAAGGGGACGCGGTGGAGGCAATGTACCGTGACCTTTACCGGCCCGCATCAGTCGCCTTGTTTGTCTCTTGCCGACTTTCGTCTCTGGAGTCCGGCCGGTCAAGCCGTTCGCCCGCGGACGTCTTCTCTCTCTCTCTCTCTTCTCTCTCTCTCTCTCTCTCTCTCTCTCTCTCTCTCTCTCTCTCTCTCTCTCTCTCTCTCTCTCTCTCTCTCTCTCTCTCTCTCTCTCTCTCTCTCTCTCGCAAGGGTGGTCAGGGAGGGAGGAGAGAGAGCGCCTGCGATGGGCGGGGTAGGCAGCGCGGCTACACTCGTGCACGGCTCGTTGCCTACCTCGCCATTCGCAGGCGCTCCGGCCGGTAGAAGCAGTCTCGAGACACCCCACTGGAAAGCCTCACCTCACTGCCTCCTGTCCGCTAATGCCCGCCTTGCTTTGCCTCTGTCGCCAGGAAAAGACACAGAAGTCTCGATCTCGCTGTTCATCAACAGGGTGTCCGGTGTCGACGAAAACAGGGAGGTGAGTACACTGCGTGCGTGTGTGTGGGGGGGGGATGTAAATGTGGGCTTGGCGGAGGCCAAAGTCTGCCGGGGCCACTATCCGTGATTGGCGGGCGAAAACGAAGTGCTGAGTGATGGGATGGCGGTGGTGGGGTGGTGGGCTAGCAGTGTAGAGGCTGCCCTCGTGGCCCCCAGTGGGGTGCCGCCCCGACCCGTCCTTCCGTACGCAAGGTCCGGCGAGGCCGGGCGAGGCTGGCGGTCGCATTCAGGTTGCTCACACGCCCGGAACGCTGCAGCTTCAGGGGCGCCCTCGTCGCCCTGTCTCTGTCGCACTCCCGGCGCTGCGAAGGGGTGCGAGAGAGACAGAGCGTGCTGCAGTGTGGCTGCAGCGGACAATGGCGGCGCGGCAAAGACGCGATGAGAGATCCGGATTGGGGGCGGGCGGGCCAGGGCGGGCCACTGGCTGCCAGGGGCTGCCCCCGAACAGTGTCGCTGCGTCGCGCCGTCTCTCTCGCACCCCTACGGGACGCCCCATGGGTGCGACAGAGACGGAGGCCTGCAGGGCCGCAGGCAAAAGAGGCAATCCCCGCTGCACGGCTTTGAGCGCTTTGAGCCGGCCGGGCCGTGGCGAGCCCAGCCAAGCCGCGGCGCAGCCCGCGCAGCCAAGGCGTGAAAGGTCAGGGTGCCTTGAGCAACGGCCGCAACGGCACGACAAAGCAGTGGCCTGGTCGGGCCGGTCGACCGCCGCGGGGCCTAGCCTTGCAAGCCATGCCGAGCCATGCACCGCGCGCACGGCATCGCATTGCATGGCAGCCGTGCCGAGCATTGCCGAGCATCGCGGTGCGGAAAGGAATTGAAACACTCGAGCGGCAACGTTCACTGGAACTGGAAACCCGTTTGGGTTCATTGAACGCGTCTAAACAAGACCGCCACAGAGGAAAAGTACTGCCAACTACTGAAAATCTCAGCCCAGAACGGAAGTCGAAATTGAGCGTCAGTACGACTGGCAGTGCACCAGTCGTCCCTCCGCCCCGCCGGCCCCGGCGAGTCCTTGTCCGTCCGCGAGCCGACACGTCAAATGAAAGCGAAATGCAAAGCCGGCCGGGGCGGGGCTAGGCGGGGCGAGGCGGGCCGGGGCCTGCGGGCTGATTCGGCCAGTCCGGGCCGCCCCGTGAGTGCGAGAGAGCGAGAGAGCGGCCGAGGACTGGGCGCCATGGTAATGAACCCGGGCAGCGGACTGACGGACGGGCCGGGCCGGACGCACCGCCGCGGGGCCGAGACCGGCCTCGCTTCCGATTGGCGCCGTCTCGGCCAATCAGCGCGCAGGGCCGGCCTCGATGACGTCCTCGACGACGTCCTTAAGGTGCAGTGTGCACCGCAGTGCCGCGCAACACGCCGGGAATGCCACCTCAGCCTGGCCGGCCGGGGGGGGGGGGGGGGGGGGGCGCCTCGGCGGCCTCGGCACACACGACACGGTCAAGTTTGCCTTTCTGCGCCAAATGCAAATTACGCCGAGGGTCGCCCCTGACGGTGCTGGCGGGGCTGGCGGGGCTGGCGGGGCTGGCGGGCTGGCGGGGCTGGCGGGGCTGGCGGGGCTGGCGGGCCGGGCCCCCCCCCCCTCCCCCGGCCGCCACGAGAGCCAAAGGCTACCAAAGGCCAGTCCTCAAACACTCCGTCCTGCAAATAAATTCAGAGTTAGACCGCCCTATTTGAACCCAGGGCTCGGCGGGCAGGGCGGCCGGCTCTGTGATGATTGCAAAGGCCGACACACGTGAGGCGGCGGGGCCTAAGCGGCTTGAGGCTGGGCTGAGCTGGCCGCCAGGGCCGCCAGGGCCGCCAGGGCCACCGTCCCCACGGGTACTTTAGTTCATTGCAGCTGACCCGCCCCACCCGGCCCCACCCCACCAGCCCCGCGGTGCTTCCTGGCTGGGTTCGCTTCACTCGCTGGGGGATCAGGACACCCCCTTTGCCTCCGCCGGCCTCCGCCGCCCCGGCACCGTGGAGAGTGGAGGTGCATCCGGAGCCGCCAGGACGCGTCCGGACAGCCGTGCAGGCGCGGTTACCCCAGCCTACCCCAGCCTACCCCAGCCGGCAGCAACCCCAACAAGGGAGAAAGCGACAGAGAGTGAGTGAGAGCGAGTGAGAGTAAGAGAGGTGTTTCCGGCGTTCCCCGCGCGCGAGAGGAGACAAATAGACATCCTCCCCGCGTGAAGCATCCGCGGGGCATTTTGGCTAAGCACGTTCGGTCGTTTAGGGACGCCGAAGGTAAAGGTATGGCCACGCCACTGCCTCGCCGCCCCGCCCCTGCTTCGCCCTTGCCACGCCACTGGCACTGCCACTGGCCTCCGAACTGCGACCTCCGTGCAGCACTACTTGAGGTCGGGGCGGAGCGCTACTGGCCTGATGTATCTTCACCGTGCGGGTTGCGAGTCCCGCCACGCCCCGCCACGCCCCGCCACGCCCCGCCACGCCCCCCGTTACATTCGGGTCGGGCTTGGTTTACGGCCGCAGCTGATTTAATCGCTTCGGTCGGTGCTCCCTGGGATTTATTGGGCCACTCTGTGACATAGCAGGTGCGCTCCTCGAGTCCAGCCGCCAGCCCCAGTCCACCCCGTCAATGCTGTCAACCGCGTCAACCCCTTCAACCGTATCAACCCGTTCGATCACGTCAACCAAGTTTGTCAAGCTGTGTTAACCTTATGAATCCTGTCAACCTCGTCAACGCGGTCAACCCCGCCCCACTCCACGCTCATCAGAGTACACGCCTGCAGGGTGTGGCTTGCTGTTGTGATTACAACCTCCAATCCCGACCAATTATGGGGATCGATACGGCACTCCGCCGCCACGGCCACCGCCACCACGACCACCACCGTGCCGCGGTTGGCACTGCTCTGCGAGGGTTCGCGGTTCGGGCGGAGGAAAAGAAGTCCGCGAAGTAGTACGGTGAATGGAGCGGGGACGAAACCCGGCGAGGGTATCATCTTTGCCGCCCCGGCAGGCAGGCAGGCAGGCAGGCAGGCAGGCAGGCAGGCAGGCAGGCGGGCAGGCAGGCAGGCAGGCAGGCAGGCAGGCAGGCAGGCAGGCAGGCAGGCAGGCAGGCAGGCAGGCAGGCAGGCAGGCAGGCAGGCAGGCAGGCAGGCAGGCAGGCAGGCAGGCAGGCAGGCAGGCAGGCAGGCAGGCAGGCAGGCAGGCAGGCAGGCAGGCAGGCAGGCAGGCAGGCAGGCAGGTGGCTGGGCCAGAGGAAGCCCCTGGGGGGGGGCGCGCTGGGGCGCGCTGGGAGCCCCAGACCAGGATCCAGCTGCCTCGCTGGGCAGACGGCAAGGAGCGCCTTGATTTATTAAATTATTCAATTATTAAATTATCTCTCCGGGTAAACTGGGAATCGACGCGAAGTGACGTGAATTATGCGCGCGCAGTCCTGGTTTATTTGAATTCAGACAGTCGGAGGGAAGGCCATTGTTCCGAGAGTCGCAACTTCGCAATCGGATTGCACCGCCCCGCCCTGGCTGCCCCTGCCCCCTTTTCGCGTTTCATAGCCACGCTCCCCCTTCGTGATCCCAACAGTTCAAACTGCGCGCGCTCCGTACAATTGATGACACTGGCACACTGGGAACTGGGGTGCGCGCAGACGACGCGCAGACGACGCGGGGAAAAGTAAAGCAGGAGGCCTCCGCATTAAGACTGGGGAAGGGGTGTAGAGTTCCACATTTTCCCTTCCATTTTGCGTCTGGAATATTTCTACTAACTTTTTTTTTGAAATTGCTTAGGCCCATATTTGTAAAGACGATGTCTGTTTCCTTTGGCGCAGGAGATCTCGCTGGACCTGTTCCTGCAGGTGTACTGGGAGGACCCCCGGGTGCACATCTGCTGCAACCACTCGGTGGCGGAGCTCACATGGACGCAGCAGCAGCCCAAGTTCTGGGTGCCGGACCTCTACATCCGCCAGCTCCGGGAGATGAAGGTCCTCTCGCTGTTCCAGGAGATGACCTCCGTGCGCCTCTACAGCAACTCAACCATGCGCGTGTCCATAGGGTAGGTGCGAGCACTTCCCCTTTGCAAAGACAAAAGACCAGCACTGTGAAAAATGCGCCGCCTTTTCCCATGCTGCAGTGCCACTGTCATCATCAAATGCGACATGGACTTCGTCCTGTATCCGCTCGACATTCAAAAGTGTGCGGTCGACTTCAGCAGCTGTGAGTACTGATGATTCACACCGTGGAGGCTGGGCGCCCCGAGCGGTGCTGGGGGCTGGGTCGCCGGGGGGAAGGGGGGGGAGCGCTATCGGGATGGCCCAATTGACCTCATGAATGGCACCCTCCATTGCATAGTCATGCAGTCCCTCTGCAAAACAGCCAAGGGCCTAAAGGCTCGGCGGCCAGCAACCCCCTCCCCCCTCCCTTCCCGATCATTGGCCATCGAGGACGGAGGGCATAAAGGTTAATTAATTGAGCGTCTGCCAATAAGGCCCGACCGATAAGCTTGGCTTGAATATTGCACTGCCGTCTGGCTGCAAAGGCTACAGTGCAGGCACTTCCTGTGCGCAGACAAGTACACCATGGAGGCCATGAAGTTCAGGTGGCGGGACGACCCGCCGCTCAGCTTCCCCAGCGACTTCGGAGATGACGGCTACCGGCTCGCCAAGTACGTCGTCTCGTTCTCCACCGAAAAGAACATGCAAATCATCTTCTACGGAGAAGGTTCGGTTGTGCGGTGCAAAATGCGACGGCGAAACAAAATGGTTGTTTTGTCTTTGGCTTGCTTTGAGTGCAGTGGAGTAACCGGTTCGCTCGGCCCAGGAAACCACTCGACGGCGCGAATGCTCATCACCATGAGCAGGGAGATCCGGTCGCACCTGCTGGAGAGCTACCTGCCCAGCACGCTGTTCGTCATCATGTCCTGGGGCAGCTTCGTCGTCATCCCCGAGATCGTGCCGGGCCGCATGGTGCTGCTCGTCACCACACTGCTCTCGCTCGTCACCATGTTCGACACCGTCAGGTTGGTACCCACCATTCGATTTGCCGCGGTATGCATATTCACCAAGGTGCCAGTCCGCGACAGACAAGGGCACGTTGATTGACCCGGCCCAGGTAGGCCCGGGTTCGATCCCGGCCGCTGAACCCCCGCTGTTTTCCATTTTATAAAGTCGCTCATTTTAATACAAAAGGGGGCAAAATAATAACTTCCCGGTCATTTTGTCGCGACCCCGGCAAGGATTTGTCGCGCCCGAATCGCCAAATTGCCATCAAAACTGCGACGCTATCTCTCTCCGTCTGGCGCGCGCCGCGTGCGCCGCGTGCACCGCCATGGCACTGCTGGACGTACTCCAGTGTGGCGGTCGGCGGGCAGCCCTCGGCAGCCCCGGCACCTTTTCCAACCGAATGGCCGCTGGAAACGCAGAGGAACAACGACCCGGTGCACGGAGCGGCCCGCCGAGTGGCTCGCCGAGTGGCTGGGGGCCTCCGGGGCCTCGAGCGAGCGCCGACCCCGCCAGGGCCAGCCGCGGCCCGCCAGGGCCCCAACGCCGCCACTGACGGCATCAGAGAAGTTGACTGCGGGGCCACCCCAGCCCCAGCCTCGATTATTCGAAGGGGCTGTCCATAAACAAGGTTCCCATTCCGCCCCGCCCTTCCTTTGTGGCTTCTCTTCACGCCTAGCGTTACGTGCTCGACGGACGGCCCCCGTTCGCCAGTAAGTCCACGCCAGGCCGCCAAGTCCACGCCGTCCACGCGTCCAAGGACCCCGTGGCGTGCACCGTATGGCTTAATGCCGCGTGTATGGGGCGAGCGGGGAAAAGGGGAATGAGAAAAAAAAGTCATAAAGTAATAATAATGAGCCTTGATGCCGTCATGCGGCGGACGGAACAAGGCTCCGCCCCGCCCCGCCCCGCCCCGCCTCGCGGCCCTTCGCACATTTCCATGATAATTCCATTACAGGATTCATTACAGCCGCGTTATCGCCCGAAAATGGTGCACCACTGTGGCGCTACAGCTGCTGTCAGGAAGACACGGAGGCGCTCCGGGCGGGGGGGGGGGAGTAGTGCATCATAAGGGCGTAGTCGCGCAGTCGGCCACGGCGCGGACGGGCGGTCAACATTAGCGTCCTCCTCGTAAAGCCCACCGCATTTGCAAATTGTTTTGTTCCTTCTTTATTTAGAAAAAAATTTTGACCTCTGTATTATAACTTTTGTGCATAAAAAAAATTGTTCAGGTTTAAAAATGTATTACCTTGTCGTCCAGAAACAACTCGCCCAACGCGCTGGAGCTCAAGTGCATCGAGGTGTGGCTCATCTCGTGCACGCTGTTCGTCTTCTTCGCGCTGCTCGAGTACTTCGTGGTGCTGTTCGGCATCCGGTACGACAAGCACTGGCGCCACAAGAAGCGCGACCTGGAGCGCCAGCAACAGCTGGAGCGCCAGCAGCAGCAACAGCAGCAGCAAATCCAGCACATCGCCCAGGTGTGGGCCGGCGACCGCGCCACCGTCAAGGTGAACCCCTCACCGCCCCCTCCCACTTCTTTTCCTTCCCCCCGCCGAGGAATCATGAGCATTTTATCCTTAAGCGGCGGCGGCCTTTACTGCCGCTTTGCATGAACGTCGGATCAATTTTTCATACCGGTCATGTCGCCTCGCCCAGCTGCCGCCCCTGCCGCACCACCGGCGCACCGGCAGCAACTCGCCCGCCGCCAACAACATCGGCATGTCCTCGCTGCCCAACAACAGCGACGCGGGGCCGTCGCCCGCCGCCTCGTCCACGCCGCGCCTGCTGGGCACCAGCAAGGTGTCCCCCAACGCGGACCTGCCCCGCGCCGGCCGCCTGGACAAGCACGTGAGTGGGGCGGGGCCCACCTCGCTGCGTCGAGGGGCTGCCCGTCTCGGCCTGGCCTTCCCCCTGGCAGTGTGGTGGGCAGGCTGAGACAGGCAACCCCTCCGACACCGCGTGGGGATTTCAGCGCCGGGGTTGGCAGCACTGCAACGTCGGCCGCCTGGCGGGTAGGCAACCCTTCTTGTCGGCGCGCGAGGCCGAACCGTGGCGCTACCCGCCAGGCGCCGAGGGCGGGGGTTCTCTGTCTGACATTTGACGACATGCCCCCACCCGCAGGACGCGGGGCTGGCCGCGGAGGACAGCGCGGACTCGGACGGGCCGCGACGGCGCTTCCGCATGGTGGCGGAGTACGTGATCCTGTACTGCGGCAGCCAGCGGGGCATGCTGGACCAGGTGTCCCTCGCCCTGTTCCCCTTCTGCTTCATCCTCTTCACCACGGTGTACTGGATCTCGTACGTGAGCGAGTCGCAGCGGCAGAGGAACAACTGACAAATCACGGGTTCATTCAACCAATCAAGGTTTTTTCTAAACTAATTTTTTAAAGTTAGACCATGAGCTGTGCAGAGAGCAGCCCACCAGTTTCATCTTCTCGCGGGCCTTCATGAGCTGTCTTTTCTGAATATTTTGTGCAAGCCATTTATAGCCGACTCTGTTTTTGATAGTGTACCTATATTGATCTTAATTTTGTGAGGGGATTAGAAATAACGAATAGAAGTTTTGATGTTATTATTGACCATTTTATTAAAGTCAGAGTTACAAAACCCCTTTCTTTCTTTTTCTACCAAGGGCCTTTGAAAATATTTTGAGGGAGTTTCTTTAAAATGATGTTAGATTAGCACTTTTAGTCAAATATTTTAGTTTTAATTACAATTAAACTTGTAGTAGGCCTTATTTTTTGGAGACTGAAATTTGTATTTGCACAGGGACAAAAATTCCATATGCTTAAGCAACCTATGGTACATCATGCTAACAATTTCATCATGTTATTGTTGTAACACTACACATTTTTATTAACATTTTTTTGCATTGTCTTTATATTTCAAAAACAAAGGACTTTCATGAGAAAGTATTTTTTTCAGCACTGCATTATTCAAATACAATAAATCTTTTTTAAAAATACTGTGTATGAAGTTTTTATACAACCAACAAATAAGTCCAAAACTACCTGGAATACAAACATGGACGTCCATCCTAGAGCACTATGAGTAATGACTTTGTTCGGATCTGTATCCCAGATATACTAGTTCAGGATCCACGAACATATGCCAGATGATAAATAATGATAGTAATAATAATTTTAAAAATAAAGAAAAATAAACACCTAGCGCTTAGTCTTGCTCAACAGTCTCCTTGTAGTGCTCAGACTGACCTGAGCACTGCAGAGTGTGACCACCCACAGTGGGCAATCTGACACGTATAGCATATCACAAATACAAAGACATTGTACTCAAAATGTGGTCCAATATGATTCACAGTCCTTTTGCTCTAAAAAAATTCAGAGTTATTACAGATAAGTCATACAAACTAAAAATACATCACATCAGAGAGACAAATTTGACAAAGCTAACTAAAAGTCAATTGGCATAACAGCAGTGGTACAAAAACATACTATCACAAGTCACTAAAATTAAAAGGAAAAGGAGAAAAAAAAGTATTAATATTCAACAAAACAAAACTTATTAGAATTATAGTGGAACCAAAACAACTCTGCTACAATATGGCTGAGAGTGTCAGTTAGATTTAAATGCGCACATATTCTGGAAGTCACAATTCTTAATACTAGAAGAGAATGCGTCCTCAAATTTGTGAATGCTGCAAAGGTCTTCATGAGAAGGACAGCCTGGAAGCCGTACTGGTCGTTCTTGATGAAGAGTTAATATCTTAAGTGGTGCTGAGCTTTCGTTTCCACACCTGCACAAGATACGGAGAAACAATTAATGCCTCAAGTAGGATTTTCTAAAATCAGAAAAGATAATTTGTAAAAAAATTGAAAAACTTACTTGTAGAGAACAAATGCAATGTTTGAAGCAAAGCTGCTGATCTGTCCAACCCGCCACTGACGTTTATGAAGCATTTGGTTAAAGTTTGATGCTAATAATGGTTCATCATCTCTGTACAGGCCAAGGTGTGCGAGCATTTTTAGCACTGTGCCAGCATGTGAGAAGTATACAATAGCTTTTTCCTTAGTGTCAGGGGAGCTGAAACAGAAGATGCACATTCAAAACCAAGGAAAAATGCATGCTTATAAAACTTTTGATTGCAAAGTACCTGAAGAAATTGAACATGTCCTTGATGGTTGGACATGCCTGTTCATAATTTATTTTGTATCCATAACCATCGATCCAGTAGTTATCTAAGTCCTCTGCATATTCCATCACCTTCAAGTCATAGTCTGATAAGACAGCACACCAGGGGGAATTCTTTTTGGGAAACCAAGCAATCTCAAATGAACATGTCACATAAATCAAAATAACATCATCTGAAACAAAATAAGTAAAATAAGTTTTATAACTGTATCCAATGATTTTTTTTTTAAATACATGGACAAAAGTAATACTATAAGTTCATACCATAACTTATAAGTTCACTTAAACCAAGACGCTGTGTCACTTCTTTTTGAACTTTGACCATTTCTGGCCCTTTAGCAAAACTGTGCTGTTCCTTGGATGCCTCAGGGTTCTTATCCACACTTTTCCTCCAATTTTCACATAATTTGTAAAACTGAAATCATAAAATTAAAAAAAAAAATCAGATAGAAGTACTACTAAAAAAAGCTTGCACAGGTTGTTAGGGTTCAACTTACCCGCAAAACAGGATCTCTGTAAATTCCTTCCGGAAACCAAACGTGCTGACTAATTCTACGACCAAACAAGCCAACTGTAAATGAACGTGCACTTTCTTCTGCTCTTTGAGTTGCTGTAAACTGGAACTAGAAAAATGAAACAGATTAATTTTGCCTTTTGTGAATAATATCATAGTACATAATACAAAAGTAATTTTATACCTTAAAAGATGAATTGGAATACACTTCAGGAAGAAGGTGGGGGAAACGTTTCTGGAAACGTTCTCCTAGCAGAAGAAGTTCATCCTCTCCTTCATGAGTTAAAATTTTCTCTTCTGCTTCCTCCAGCTGAGGGGACCATTTGGAAAGTTGTCTCAGTTCATGGCTGCATAGACTTCCTAAAGTGGTTTTTAATATACATGGCTTGTTATGAATAAATTATTCATGTTGAAAAATCATTTTTAAAGTGAATTCAAAAAAGTTTACCAAAATGGAAGCGCAAGATAAATACCTTTGCCTTTGCGGTGTGCTTTAATGATTTCATCACGAATTAAGGGCAGGTGTTCATTCATTCTCTGTATTATACTGTCACTTGGATTTCTTGTACCATGTCTGATCATCGACCAAAATTTAATAGGAGAACATCCTGAAAGTGGAAGAAGGTAATGCTTGATAGACAATACATATAGATAATACATAATAGTTTGTTAGATGACTTTGGTTAATTTTGCACCTTGATATGTTGGAGGGGAGTCATCTCTGTTTGCCACAAACCTATAAGGTGTTTTAGTCGCAAGAGATACATTCACTAGCGAAGAACCATTGTGACATTCTGATAATACAATGGAAGTTTTCGATGATAACACAAGCTGTGCAAAAAGCACTCTTACTAGTAAAGACCGCCGAGTGGCATAAGCCATCGTCGTTCCTGTGAAAGCAAAACAAACAATTTACAAACCCAGTGAGTTATGTCAAACGGACGGATGTAGGTAAGGTTAGGGGCACAACCAACAATTTCAGTGAATTACAGCTCAAGTAAGGAATGTCAACTATGGAAACTAAGACTGGCAGCTCTGAAATTGGAATAAAGTAGCACTCACTGTTGAAAAACAGCCTGTTGAAACACCAACGCCACACCTACGCGTCATGTGTTGAGGTAAACATAAAATATCTACTTTGTCTTCCCCCTTCTCGGCCCCTCTTCGCCCCCTCCCCCCCCCCCCTGACTCCGCCCCTGTTCTTCCGGCTCCCTCCCACACAGTGCCAAAAGTTGCGGAAAGTTGCACCAGTTTTGCACCGAAAAGCAGGAACTGATTCATTTTACTCACGGATCATCCTGTTTTTTTCCGCACAAAACCGTCGCAATAAAAGTGGTTATGTACCCGAGGGATGAGTGTTCGAACACTCATCCCGAGGACACAGAGCTTAGTGACTTTTGAACTGCCGCGCCGAAAGATGTGTTTCCGTTTGAATCAACGCTGGTCAGTACGGCACCTTTAACCTGGCATCTTAATTTACCCTGCGAGTCGCATTTTCTTGTGTAAAAAATCTAGGGATCAGAACCCAAAATTACGAAGGATGCGCATTGTTCTAGAGCGTCCCAATTCTTAAAAAAGTTAGGGCAAGATCTCGAAGGCTGACAGACTTGATCTCGAACTACAGAGGTCCAACCCTACAAAAACAACAAATATTCGTTTCTGACAACGTTAATCGAAAACCGCAATTTCAAGTGATCTCAAAACCTATGTTTATTTGTTTCAGTTGAAATTTTAGACTCATTCTGATCTGTTTTACCATACAGGACCTTCAAGGAACAAGAAATTTCAAATGATATGTTGGTGAACATGTCTGTACTGCTAGCGCCTCTCTCGGCCGTTCTGAAAAGCTGCCCGAAGAAGACGGAAGTTGAAGATGAGCATGTAAGCGGGCTGGGTTGTACGCCATTTTATCTCAAAGTCAGACAATGAGCTGCAGAAAATGATAGATTTATTTTGTACCTACTCCGTTTTAAAACGTTACGCAAAGTATCATTATTATCCCTAGGTAGTGCGATCTATGTATCTTGTACAAAGTATTATGGATGCTTAGCCAGAAGTGAGATTTATTGTGATTATATCATGGTAAGAGCTCGGTCTCCTCAGGAGAGGACTAATATGGCGGATGTGTCCAGTAAAATTTAAGGAAAACGTTAATAAATTTTATTTTAGTGTGTGCGCGCGTGCTTACTGTGCGATTATATCTGTGAGCTACAGCCTTAATTTTGCGGCGCCTTGTGTCAAAAATGGGTCATTTTGTCCTTTACTCGGTTGATTTACTCCAAAAAATTGCGCCTTTAGCCTTCTATCTAGGCCTGCCGGCTTCCTGACGCTCAAAGTAGTAAATTTGTACTTGTCGGTGTTGGCATTTCAGCCTCGCTTCTTACGCTCAGGGGTTTCGGTGCCTCTCTTTGGTCCTCCTTGGCGGCGTAATCGGATTCCTCTATCCGGCTGCAATTAAGGTGGTGACGCGCCCAGCCTAGGCTAACCCTTCTTGGCTCCAGGCCACTACATTTCATCTTCTAGGCTCAGAAATGCTTACTCTCCCTTTAGCCGTGCGGAGACTGTGGCTTCCGACCGTCTTTAAAGGGCTGACTTCCCGTTAATACTACCTTCAGTTATTTCTTTGTCACATTAATTGATAAGAGTGGACCATTCACTGTGTTTGTTATGATGCTAAGTTTGTCTTTGCCTCCAATTTCTGCTCCACTGGGCTTGCCTTTGAGAACATCTCCTCTCACTTTGTGACTCAATGTTCTGAAGCAATTCCTTGTGCATTTTCTTTTTAACACCATCTGCAAATATTTTTTTTGTTGATTTTCCAATTTTAAAACTTTTTGTATTAAATCTATCTTAGGACATATGTTCCCTTTTTGTTCTCAATCGTCCTTGTTTTCTCATCCTTTATTTGGGGCTAACATAACATTTTTTTCTGTTTTTAGGATTGTGACTTTATATTGTATACCAATGAATTCCACAAAGCAAGTCATCTTTCATTAAATTGGGCCATTTACCAATGGTACTTATTCCTTATAAAAACAATTTTCTACTCTTGAATTTACTTTGTTGTGTCTTTCTTTCATTTCATCTCATGCGTATTTCAGAGTGGAGGATGAGTGAGCAACAACCTGGGCTTGGGCCAACCCCACCCACGGGACCACCAACGCTGAATGTGGCAGGTCAAACTGTCCGCATTCAGCAGGTCCAAAATGTTAATCTACTTACAACTGGCGGCCAACAGTTCGTAATAACGGGGCAAGTACCTGGGCTGGCGCAGGTAAGTTCCTTTAGCCTCTGATGACGTGCTAATTTTTATATTATTTTTCATTAACCAAAAACCCTTGAGCTCACCATTATCCTTATAACTTGCAGGTCTTGTCCCCAATCACTACAAGTGCGTCAGGTGGAATGACGAGACTGCTAACCCACAGGGTTATACAAGGAAGAGGAGGAACATTACAGCTTGCGCCATCTAATGCAGGAACAGCTGCTGGTACACCTGTTTCCTTGGTGGCGATTGGACAGTCATCAGTAAATGCTTCTTCTTATCCTACTCTTGTCAACACCTTATCCTCCCCGTCAAGGAGGACGCAACCCACAGCATCTCAGCCAACTGTGTTAGCATCACCTTCACGTAGCAACCCATCTCATCCGTTATCCCCTAGTGCAAGTCCTCAGACAAGAAAAAAAATGCGTGTTTCCACTTCTGACACTCCGGTCAGTGAAGAGACGATGGCAAGGAGGAAATTAATAGTAGAACATAAACTAGTGAGACTTAAAGCTGCTCGATCCAGATATGCAGACCTTGCTGCTGAGCTCTTCTTCCTCCAGGTAATTAGGAAACTAATTTGATTGTGTCCAATTTTCACATCTCTGAAAACTTGTGTTACCGTAAATTAATAACTCATTTATTTGCCAGGCTGGTGGGAACATGTCAGATTATCTTGCATGGCGAAAGCGCTCACCTACTCCCCAGTTCTTACATTTTCTTCGGTCGAATCGGCTTGACGCTGATGATGATGACGAAGACTTAACTCAAAACCTTACACCAGCCATTCAGGCCACCCAGTCAGTTTCAGCAGCTGTAGCTGCAACTACCCCTGTAACCCAAACTCCTGCTGTGTCCACCCCCACCCCTGTCCCATCCTCAAGTTCTCAAGGTCAGTACTAATGAATCACTTCAAAATATGAAATTCAGTATTTTAAATTCTTACCTGGATTATGTTTATCTTAATTTAAACACAATCTAACATACATTGCATTTTTGTAGCTGAGCCTACCGTACCTGATCCAGCCAAAATAGCTGGTGCACCTGCGCCTGCCACTGGTAGAAGGTCACCACCCCTATCTGCTGCTGCAGGAAGCTTCTCCCCTGAAAGAAGGGTCCCGGGTAGCCCCTCCAAATTAAAAGGACAGCAGCCACATGGAGCCCGGCAGCATCCAAAGCAGACACCACCTCAAGAATCGACACCCGGTAGCCAAGAACAAATTGTGGAGAAAGCTAAACAAGTATGTGCTCTTGCTTCTCATTGAAAATATTGTTTCTCATGCCATACATCTTTCTGTAACCAATTTTTAATTATTTTTTCAGGAAGCATATGTTATGCAAAGGATTGTAGAACTTCAGAGAGAGGGTTTGTGGACTGAAAAAAGATTACCGAAAGTGCAAGAACCTGCCAGAGCAAAAGCTCATTGGGACTATTTGCTGGAAGAGATGGTGTGGTTAGCTGCTGACTTTGCCCAAGAGAGGAAGTGGAAAAAAGCAGCTGCAAAGAAATGTGCCAAAATGGTTCAGAAACATTTCAATGAAAAGCAGGCGAATGCTGATAAGGCTGAGAAACTGCAGGAGATGCGTCTGAGGAAAATTGCAAATACCATAGCCAAAGACATAAAAAGTTTCTGGGCAAACATTGAGAAGGTACTTTTGAGGAGAGATGTTTCACCTCCAGTAAAGTTCTTGTCCAGAGGTGTGACTTACGTTTAATTTTCTTTTCCGTTACAGCTGGTTGAGTTCAAGCAAACTCAAATATTAGAAGAGAAGAGGAAAAAGGCATTAGATCAGCATCTTAGTTTTATAGTTGACCAGACAGAAAAGTATTCAATGCTGCTCACCGAGGGTATGAATCGTACAGGTGCCGAGAGTGCCAATAACAGCATTAATGCTAGTGTCCCTCCATCAGTTGTGTCCTTCTCTTCTGACACAGAAGCTGCAGCTAAATCTGATGGTTTGTGATTTCCTTGACAGTTCAAAATTTTATTAGTTTTCATTTGTTTGCTTCTTACTCATCATTTGTGCTTTCTCTCTTCAGATGACTTTAGACCAGATATGGATTCAGAAGATGATGAACGAACTATAGCTAAGGATGAGGATGTCGGTGGAAATCCTGAAGAAATTGCAAAGTTACAGGAAGAAACTGAATTATCTTTAGAAGATCTCTTAAAAGAGTTCCCTGGTTACCTAGACAATAGAGATAAGCTTATTGAGAATGAGGATGGTGTCGACAGCAGTAGCAAAGGCTCTGTTGCTGGTGCTGATGATGAGGAATCCAAAGCATCTGATGAAGATGATGATGAGGATGAAGAAGAAGAAGACGAAGATGCAGATAGTGACGATGAGGATGAGGAAGATGATGAGGAAGAAGATGTTGATATGGATGAGGGTAATGATGATTCAAAAGACGCAGCTGATGTTGATACCAATGACTCTGGATCGGGTCTGGGTGAATTGTATCGGCCTGCTGGTGGATCCAAAGCTAAAACTGAAGAAGAGACAGGAAAAGAAATCAATGATGTTGCTGCTGTGGCCGAAAGTTTGCAACCTAAAGGCAACACATTGTCCTCTACTAATGTTGTGACCAAAATACCCTTTTTGCTTAAACACACTTTAAGAGAGTACCAACACATTGGTCTTGATTGGCTTGTGACAATGTATGACCGAAATCTCAATGGTATTCTAGCAGATGAAATGGGCTTAGGAAAAACAATCCAGACAATCTCACTTTTGGCCCATCTTGCGTGTGAAAAGGAAGATTGGGGTCCTCACCTAATTGTCGTTCCTACATCTGTGATGCTCAATTGGGAGATGGAGTTGAAGAAATGGTGTCCTGGTTTCAAAATTTTGACGTACTTTGGAACCCAGAAGGAAAGGAGAGCTAAAAGAACAGGTCAGTAACTCTCCTGAATTATTTATGAGATAGAAATTTGGTTTGTCTGAAGTAGTGGGCTTTTTAATTTCCATTCGGAGATTTATAACATTGATATATGTTTTTAAGTAAACTGTACTCTCATTTTGTTTTCTTTAACAAAAATTATTTACAATCTCTTTTTGTTGAGAAATGAGAGGGATAGTATTGGTAGCATTTACCAAGCAGCCTGACTCCTGTAGTAGGTGTGTTTGACATGTTACATACATTTTTCTCATGGCTCTGTTATCCTTTTTAAGTTTTCCTCTTGCATCACATAACAGTAAAAATTGTAATCTTTTGCAATTTTTCAATGAAGGGGAGGTAGATCAGTGGTAACATTTACCAAGCAGCCTGGCTCTTATAGCAGGTGTGTTTGACATGTTACACACACATTTCTTACGGCTTAGTTATTCTTTTCAATTGTTCCTCTTTCATCACTATACAGTGAAAATTGTTGCACTTTGCTATTATTTTGTTAATGAGAGAGGTAGACTAGTTGTTTCATCTACAGCAGCCTGTCTCTTATAGCAGGTTTGTTTGACATGTTACACACAATTGTCTTAAAAATCTGTCACCATTTCCATCAGCTGTCCTTGTTTCTCTGTTTCTTTCCCTTACTGAATGGGTTACTGTTTGCTATTACTATCCGGGCTTTTCACCAAAGTTGCAGACAAAGTTAAAATTTTTAATCTTCCCATCTGAATGTTGAATGGAAATTTTTCCTCTTGCATCACGTAACAGTAAAAATTGCCATCTTTTGCAATTTTTCAATGACTGGGAGGTAGATCAGTGGTAGCATTTACCAAGCAGCCTGACTCTTATAGCAGGTGTGTTTGACATGTTACGCACAATTGTATTGCAGTTCTTTCCTTTTAATTGTTCCTCTCTCATCACTCTACAGTGAAAATTGTTGCACTTTCCAACAGCTGTTCTTGTTCCTTCTTTTTCTTTCTTACAGTGAAATGGGACTCAAATGTGGGCAACCTTCTTTGAAGGTGATATGTAAATTTTATCACTGTTTAAGTATTTGTGTATCTGTTTGTTGCAGGTTGGACTAAGCCAAACGCATTTCATGTGTGCATTACATCTTACAAATTGGTAATTCAAGACCACCAAAGTTTTAGACGCAAGAAGTGGAAGTACTTGATCTTGGATGAAGCTCAGAACATTAAAAACTTCAAATCTCAGCGATGGCAGCTTCTCTTGAACTTCCAAACAGAAAGACGACTTCTTTTGACTGGCACACCTCTTCAAAACAACCTGATGGAACTGTGGTCATTGATGCATTTCCTTATGCCTCATGTTTTCCAGTCACATAAAGAGTTCAAGGAATGGTTCTCAAATCCTGTGACAGGGATGATAGAGGGTAATTCAGAAGTCAATGAAAGTATAATTAAAAGACTGCACAAAGTTTTGCGGCCTTTCCTTTTGAGACGTCTCAAATGTGAGGTTGAGAAGCAGCTTCCAAAGAAGTATGAACATGTTATCATGTGCAGACTATCCAAACGCCAACGATACCTTTATGATGACTTTATGTCAAGATCAAAGTATGTTATCAAACTGCCTCAGGTTTTGTTATTTTTTTGTGATGTGGTTATTGTTAATTGAGTTTGTTCTGCTTGTTACAGAACTAGAGAGACTCTTGCTACTGGAAATTTGTTGAGTGTCATCAATGTGCTCATGCAACTGCGTAAAGTATGCAACCATCCCAACTTATTTGAAGCTCGCCCCACTATATCACCATTTCAAATGCAGGGTATTGAATTTAATACTGCATCACTCGTTTGCCACCTGCTTGAGTATGATGTGTGGAAGGTTTGTAAAAATTGCCACAGCTAATAGTTTATCTTATCACAATGTGCTGTTAACTAAAGATTGTGCTGTTACTTCAGGATATTGATCTTCGGAATCTTAACATTCAAATGGTGGATTTAGAGGATTCTGTATCAGCTTTCGTTGCACATCGAATGAAGCGTATTGAAACACCTGGCAAGCTCATCGAGGAAATTGATAGTCAACCAGATCCACCACCACCTTGCCCCAAGGGCAGACTAAATATCAGTGTTAGATCTAATCCAGTGGGTCCACAGACATTAATCTTGAATCAGCAAAATGGCATGACCACATTAGGTGGTGGTGGTGTACGAATTGGGACCTCTCCAGCCCCACCTCGTAAAACAGGTGTGTACCTTGCAATGTTAAAATTTTTCTTTAACACATTTTTTTTTTAAATTATTGACATTGGTTTGCTTTGTTTTCTTGTCTGCCATTCAGCTTCTGTTGCCAATGGACAGAAACCTACTGTTGGTCCACAATCAGTAGCTCGACCAACAATAAAGCTGCCTAGTTCCTCATCATCAGAACCACAGGTAAATCATATTTGAAACACATTCTTTGAAATTGATGCATTAACAATCAGTTGCTACATTTGCTCTAGTGTAGAAACTTATGCATTGATGCGAGATGAAAGTTTCAAATTCCAGCTGGTCCTTCGCTTGTGCGGAGGACTATCCTAAATCATTGGCAACATTCTAACTTTTGTAGTCAATCTGATTCTTATCTTTTAGTGCACCAATAATCAGTCACTACATTTGTTCTGGTGTTGTAACTTTTGCATTGGTGCGAGATGAAAGTTCCAAATACCAGCTGGTCCTTTGCTTGTGTGGAGGACTATCCTAAATCATTGGCAACATTCCAACTTTTTTATTTAATCTGCTTCTTATCTTATAGCGCATCAATAATCAGTCACTACATTTGTCTTGGTGTTGTAACTTTTGCATTGATGCAAGATGAAAGTTTCAAATACCAGCTGGTCCTTTGCTTGTGTGGAGGATTATCCTAAATCATTGGCAACATTCCAAGTTTATTAGTTTATCTGTTACTTGTCCTAGGGAGCATCACCAATACTTGTGTTGCATGTGTTAAAGTTTCCTCTAACAAATTATTTTACTTTTCTGTCTAGACAAATGCAGCTGGTGGGTTTACCTCCTCCAATGGCAACCATGCAAGTTCCAGGAAGCTCAAGACTAGGGGCAACGAAGCTAAATCTCCCTTTTTCATTGTAAGACACAAGCATGGTCTATTTCAAAAGAAATTTTATGTATCTGTGTTACTCAGCAAATGTTTTTTATTTCCTGCCATCAGCCTGAACTTGTGGAGAAGAGGCGACAGAGAAGGCGAGGAAAACTTCAGTTTCTGGCTAAAGGCAACCAAATTAAGTGTGGTGCATATCCCATTTATGGTGCTGACCTAGTTTGTGCACTCCACATGCTGGGAGAAACACCATGTACAACGATGGCCTGGTCTGCTGGCTATGTGCATTGTGCACATGAAAGCAAAGCCCTCCATCACCCCTCAACCTATTGGCAAAGGACGGACGCGTTGTCCAAACTTATTTACACTAATGAGGATTATGTGAACTCGCTCAATGACATATTTGGAAGGTAAGAGGATTCCTTTATGCTCTATGGTTTCTACTGTTTAGGTATGGATTGAAGGTGCTCATGATTAATGTGTTTCCATCAGGTTCGTTATATGGGTCCCACCAGTAGCAGCCCCTTTGCCGGCTCTGCATGTGTCTCATCCTCCTCCATCGGCTTTGTGGAAAGAGCGGAGAATGGTTTCCACTTTGCAGCATGAAGTGTCTCCTAAATGCACAATTCTTCACCCTGTTGCTAGATCAATGACAACACAATTCCCTGATCCTAGGCTAATACAGTATGATTGTGGTAAGTCATCAAATCCTATTAATTGTTATCTGAAATTAATGGCTTTACTATTCATTAAGTTAATACCTCAACTTTTTCTGCAGGTAAACTTCAGACTATGGATAGATTGTTGCGGCAACTAAAAGCTGGACATCACAGAGCTTTAATTTTCACTCAAATGACAAGGATGCTTGACGTGCTGGAGGCATTTTTGAATTTCCATGGACACATTTATCTGAGGTTGGATGGTACAACAAAGGTGGATCAGAGACAAGTAAGTGGTTTTCTTTCAAGAAAATTGTAGATTTCAACCCTCACACACACTTAACTATGGTCTGTGGTATTAATATTTGCAGGTGTTGATGGAGAGATTCAATACTGATCCAAGAATATTTTGTTTTATACTATCCACTCGGTCTGGTGGAGTTGGTGTGAATTTGACTGGTGCAGACACTGTGATATTCTACGATAGTGACTGGAATCCTACTATGGATGCTCAAGCACAAGATCGTTGCCATCGTATCGGCCAAACCAGAGATGTCAACATTTACAGGTACACTTTCTTGTTCTTTATAATTATTTCAGCTTCAAGAAGTCAATGGTCATTAATTTTATTATTTTCTCCCAAGGTTGATAAGTGAGAAAACAGTTGAAGAAAATATCTTAAAGAAGGCCAATCAGAAGAGAATGTTAGGAAACCTTGCAATTGAAGGAGGAAACTTCACCACTGCATTCTTCAAAAGTGTATGTATTGTTACTTCTTATGTCTGACTGCTTAATGTACTATTCATAGAAGGTGTCTCTTAACTTTGACAATTGTTCCAGTCTACCATTCAAGACCTCTTCAATGTTGATGTCAGTGAGAACGATGCATCAAGACGCATGGCGGAGGTTGTTGACAGGGATAGTCAGGTTTGTGTTTGAGGTGTAAACCTCTCCTTCCTCTGTCATTAACAACTTGCTAGGAGTGTTTTCAATCCGTTTTTCTATCTGCAGAGTGTGCCATCACCCCAGGATGATAAGGTTGCTATGGGGGCATTGGAGTCAGCTTTGGCAGCAGCTGAAGATGAAACTGATGTCATTGCTCTGAAATCAGCTAAGGCTGAAGCTGTGGCAGACTTGGAAGAGTTTGATGAAAATGTTCCTCTTGGAGAGGATGGAGTGGAAGGCACATCAGCTCAACAATCTGACCAGCCGGAGCTCAGCAAGGCTGAGCAAGAGGTTCAAAACCTGGTTCAACAGGTTTGTGTAGTTGTCTTAACATTCTCTCATCTTTGGTGTGGAAGTTACACTGATGCAAAGAATTCAAGGTTTGATACCATGGCATTTTTCATCTGTTTCACAGCTATCATCGATTGAACGCTATGCCATGACATTTGTTGAAGAGACGGACTCCTGGAGTGCGAAGCAACTTGCCGAGGCAGAGGCAGAAATAGAACGCCAAAAGAAAGACTGGGAATTGAACCGGCTGGCCGCTGCGCGGGAGCAGGAGGAGCGTCGGCAGCGGTTGGCTGACGATGAACCCATGCTGACCTACTCGCGCGAAGATGCCAACACTCAGGTTAATAGTAGTAAGAAGATAGGTATGAGGAGCAAGCGATTGTCGGTTGGGAAGCGGTCGTTATTATCTGCCAGAAGTAGTAGGTGTAATTCTCGTAATAATTCTCTTGACGGTAGCTTGGATGGTGATGATAGCAAAGATAAAGTTGAAGGTAAGAAACTAATGCTTAAGAGAAAAAGGAAGTTGATAAAAGAAGACCTTGCAGACATTGACAGTGAAAGTATTCATTCCAATGACAGTCATGATATGTCTTTGAATAACCATAATGCGGATCCAACTAGTCCTAGGACACGCTCTAGAGGCTCTGTTAGCATAAATCTGTGGACCCTAGATAGAAGTGCAAGTCCCTCCACATTGGAAGGACCAGGCAGCCCTAATTTCCAGTCAACAGTGAAGAAGAGGAAAAGAGGGAGGCCGAAGAGAGTGGACAGAACTGATGGTGTGAATAACATTACTCCAACCAAACAGTCTTTATCTCCTTTTGCTAATCCTAATCTTGTGATAAGAACTCGTAGAGGTTCCTCCTCCTTGAGGCATGTCGATGGTAGTGATGTAGAAAGTAGTAATGAAAGCCCTGATGGTCGGAGAGTAAAAAAATTAAAACTTCTCAAAAGGAAACGTAGATCTGAAGGCAGTGTGGATACTAATGGTTTGCCCTAACCATGTGGCCAAACATCAGAATGTTTGAAGAGACTCTTTTTATAAAGTATGGAAAACAGTTATTTGTGGGTGTTCTGTACATCAAGGCATAGTTGATTTTTTTTAAACTTTTGTTTCTCTTCTCTTTTTTGTTTTCCTTTCTTAGAATGAACTTATAAATGGCTCCTTCATACTTTTAATAGTTAGATTTTTTTAAAATTGATAACTTCAAACCAACAGATTTTATACATTGTTCAGTTTCCATTCTTAATGTGCAACCAAACCCAAGACAACTGCTTCTTTCGGAACTCGATTTACAAGATAGAGGCTTAAATTGTACTGAATGGTCACTACATTGTTTTAACAAATTTGTCAAGCAAAGAAGTGTTAACCTTCATAAATTTTACATTGCTCGGTTGAACTCATTGCTGCGTATCAGTTTGATGCACAGCATAGTTAATTTTACTTGCTATGCTGTGCATCAAAATGCATAACATACCTTGAGTGCTTCACAGGTGCCTCATAAGTTAAAGATGAAGCTGGGAGATTTACTGAAGTTGCCTCTCCCAACTATAAGACTTCATGAATTAACATTTAGTCTTAAAGTGTCTTTCTCTCTCTTCTTTTTCTTTTCTTTTTTTAATCCTTCAATTTCAGTTTTTTTGTGATCAGTATTGTGTGCAATTGTTTTTCTATGCATACAACAAATTACTGAAGAGATGTGTTGCATCGCTAATTTAATTCTTAACATTGCTCAACTTGGCCTTCTGTAGGAGAAAAATTACCTTCACCCAACTTGGCTTTCTTTCTCTGATACCTAAGAAGTCAATGCAAGTGATCTTACAAGTTTGGCCATTCCATTACTGCTAAGTTTTTGACTTGGTCTCATCATAGACTCAGCTGCTGTTGTATTGTAATTTATTTTTGTAACCGAATTTGTGCACCAAATCTAGTATTTTTAAAAGAATAATTAATGTAGGTGACGACAGCCCAGTGTTTTTTCTGTCCATCATGTAATTGCTTCATCCATCGGCTACTGCTTTACCTTATGCAACATCATAGGCATAAGCACCCAGCCGCTTAGATTGGCTGCCATATTAGTGTTGTCATGGCATTACTGTGTCTTTTAAATTTGCCAACAGCCCCGTGACTCCAGGCACGATAGTCTTGCAGAACAGTTTTAATTTCAGTATTAGCTTATAGAACAAGTTGTTGGTGCTAAAAACAATTATTTATTTGCATTGGTCAAATATGGAAGAAAAACATTTATAATTTATGTATCTTAGGTCATTGAATTTTCACTTGTACTGGCTACTAGACTGAAAATGTTAATTTCTGTGAATGAAAGTGCTTCATTGAACTGAAGAGGTTGGGTAAACGTGCCTTGTTATACATTTTTACCATTCTCATTTATGTCAAAGGCTGTTAATGACTTGAAACATACGACATTCTAGTTGTCACTTGTAAGTTTCAGTTTGCCAACTTAAATTTTGTTAATTAAGTATTTATATTGTGTGGTTGATTTGTTACTTTTCCTGTGAAAGTATGAATGAAAGTGTATATGTGTGTGTGTATGTTTGTATGCATATAGTGAGTTACGCCATTTGTTCTGTGACTTCAAATGGTTCTATTGTTATGTGACATGTTGTCACCATTCTGTTCTTTTGATGAAGAAAGCTAAATAAAACAAAAAATCTCAACTTGCAAGTGTCTGTTGTATGTCTTATTTCTTGGTATCTTTTCCAAGTGGGGTTCCAAGGTTGAGCGCTGTTTTGGTGTCAAACTTTGCTCTGTGTGCTTGTTTATACATTCCTTTTTGGCTTAGTCAAAATTAAGTTTGGTATGGCATAGGCGTGTCATAACCTGTGGTGTAGCACATCATGCTCCCCTTGTAGATTAGCTTCCGATGTGTTCGAATGCGAATTGCAGTTGAAGCTTCAATGCAGTTTATGACTCACGCGGCACCAAAGCTCGACCTCTGCCTTGCCATTCCAAACTTGGAGATGTCCCAAGATATAAGCATGCACAGATAGCAAGTGTTGTGCCAGCAACAGGCGGTCAGCCTCAAGCCACCACTTGAACCCTGGCCCCTGGCACACAAAGGATATGAAAGAAAAGAAAGCTAAATCACACAGTTTGTTGATAGGCATTTGTGACAGTTTCCCTGTTGTAACTTATCTTCATGATTGATTAGATCCGATTCTTGACATTTGTGCTAGGAAATAATTTGTAATTGGAATTTTCGGCTGGTTTAAGCCATTATTGTTTCTTATAAAGTTATTTTCAATTGCTTGAAAACTATAGGAGCAGTTATATCTTATTGCTGCTGGGGTGGACATGTTGCTGCTCCTCATACCATCAAACTATGATGTGCATTTGATACGCAGATCTAAAAGAATGGTTTTCTTTCCTTTCAGGAGTGGCTATCTGACAATGGGAAGGAACTCATGCCGGTATTTATCACTCATTTCTGTTCCATTTTTAGTATTAGTCAGCACAGTTGAATTTTAATTGAGGGTTTATTTATTTCTGGTAGATGTGGTGTCCACCAACACCCCCTCAGCATGACAATGACGTGTACATTGACATGTCAATGGGATTCCTCTATGATCACAATATCATGTCGGAGTCACAACTCCCACCTGTATATGTCAAGAAAGAATTAAAACGATCTCGGCAAGCTGAAATAGGGGGCGCAGGCGAAAGAGAAGGTAACACTTATCTTGAGAGAGGTACATACTTTCAATTGTATGGAGAGCAATGTTAAAAGGTGCTGTTTCTTTGTGTGTTAGGTCGACGACCACTTAAAGTTCGTCCTCGAGATGAGAGCTCCTCTCAAGCACCTCGCTCGCTCTTTGATAGGCCGTCACCAGCACTGGTTAAAATGCGAAGAGATATTAAGCTTCAAAAGTATAGAGGTCATGTCCGTAGTCCTATTCCGAACCCACTTAAGCCTCAGATTCCTCAGAGACCTGCACAGGAGCCCGAGTACATGCCTGAATGGCTTATTTATGAGGACAATTGTCTTCTCAGGGTAAGAGGAAGGCTCTTTAAAAAATTTGATACAAATTGCAAAGTATTGTTTTGTCATTACACTTGTCCTATCTTTGTTTGCGTTGCAGGAAGTGCAAGCTACCCAAGAACTAATGTTGAACTTGCTAGTAGTTACACCTGCCCATACTCCCAACTGGGATTATGAATCTGAGTCTGTCACTAATATTGGACGAACATTCAGATCAGCAAAGCATTGTCGATACAGGTAATAGTTATTTGTGTGGAAATTCAAATCCCACTGTCTTCAGTCTATTCTATCATGTTTGTCCTTGTATCTGTTCAGATATGAGAATGTAGTGATACCTCGTGAAGAAGGTAAAACACCTTACCCAGATACCCTGACAAAGAAACAGAAAAAGTTAAAAAATATCAACAAGCCGTTGCAGGTGAGACTTTTATAAATTTTTAATGGTGTCAGACATTTATACTTCTTTCAGAAAAATATTTACATTTCTTAAATATTTCAGCCAACCAAATCCAATCGACCTATGAGAACAGCTCAACTTTATGCACATGATGCCAACCAAGCCTTCACCACATTGTACCTGAAACATTTTGAAAATGTGCGTGAGGTTTCGAACAAGCGAGCCCCTACTGTTAAGCCTCTTTTGGTGAACCCATCAGTCAAGAACCCCAAACATGCTGCTGTGTTGCAAGAAAATGGAATTGATTACGACAACCCTCTGGAGCCAGAGGCAGTTGCCTTACGAAGAGCTGAGAGAATTGCTCAGGAGAAGAAAAAGCAGTCTTCGGTAAGTGATGCTCCAATTAGATCTTCTGAATCAAGGCGAGATATTACACACTCATCACTTTCAAATTGAATTATTTCCTGCAGAATAAAGCTGGGGTGCTACCTGGAGCTGCTCCACCGCCTCCGACCCTTCCAGTGGTGGTAGCATCTGTTGCCCAGCCCACAGCTGCAGTTGTTGCCGCTGCGGGTGTACAGCCTGCTGCCCCAGCCGTCGCACAACAGCTGCAACAACTGCAGCAGCAACCTCTCCAGCAGCAGTCCCTGCAGCAGCAGGCTGTCCCGGCCGCGAGCGTCGCGGCTGCAGCCAGTGCAGGGCTGTCCCCACAGTTGCGGAGACCTGTAGCCCTCATGATGCAGGTATGACAAATTGAGGTCGCACCGCCTACATTTATGTTTGTTTTTATATTTTTTACCTTTTTGTTGGTGTGTTTCAGGAAGTGGTGGGCCAACCTGGAGTGGGTACTGTGCGGGCTGTGGCAAGCTCCCCTACTGTTGTGTCTGTAGCCAGTTTGACGCAAGCTCAAGCTCAAGCTGCTGCCCAGAGACTATCCCTTGCTCAGACCACAGCCACTGCGTCTGCGTCTCCTAAAACAGTCACAGCAAACATGGTTGCTGCTGCAGCCGCGGCGGCAGGCAAAACTTTGACCCAGCAACAACTGCAACAGCTTCAACGGCAACAGATATTGAAGCAAAGAGCACAAATGAAGGTGGGTGAATGTTAATGCATAAAATAGCTTGCGGAAATTTTTTTTTCTGATAAATTAATGTTTTGTTGTTACAGCTTGTTCAGCAACAACAAGCTGCCCAGGCTGCTGCCGCGGCCGCTGCTGGTGCAGCTCCTGGCACCATTGTGTCCAGCATAGCTGCCTCTGGGCAAGCTGTCCAAACGGTCCAAACAGCAACTGTCAGTGGCACTATCCCTATTGTATCAGTCGCAACAGCAGGGGCTACACAAAAAGTAGTCGCTGCTTCAGGAATGCCTGTTGTCACAGCTGTTCAGGTTTCGCAGGGTCAGCAGCCACGTGCTCAGGTAGTTAAATTAGCCATTGAAACAAATGTTTGGTTTATGTGTCATAAACAGACATTTGAATTCCTTGTTCCTATCAATTTCCTTTCAGATGCAGTATGTAACAAAAACAGTTGGTGGAAAACAAACCCTGACAAGACAAGTGACTGAAGCAGAGATGGCTATTATAATTCAACGGAAGCAGGCTCAACAGGCACAAGCACAGGCGCAGGCTCAAGCCCAGGCCCAAGCTCAGGGACAAATCCAAGCTCAAGTTCAAGTGCAAGGCCAAATTCAAACTCAGGTGACTATCATTTAGCTTCTTTTTTTTTTTAAAGTTTGTTCAAATTCTTGTTTGGTTGAGGTGATTGCCATAAACTAATATTCCTGTGTTCCTAGGGCCATCAGGTTGTTTCTCAGGCTCAACTGGCAAGTGTAGCTACTGCTGTCTCAACAAACCCAGCAACAACAACAGTTGCTGTTGCTAAGCATGGTGGTCAGATTACACAGCAGACCATTGCTACAGCACAACTCCTTGCTCAAGCTGGTCTTGCAGTTCAGACTGGTGCTGCTGGCACAAGCCAAGCCACACTAGTTAAGACTGTGGCTGTGCCGAGTGGTGTAACATTACCTGTTACTGGGGTAATACCACAGGTAATATGGCAAAATTATTAACTAAGATAAGTTTGTACACCTTTGTAACTATTCTAAAAAGAAATGTTCTGTTTTTTTTTTTAGCTCAAAGCTCAGCTGGCTCCAGGAATTAAAGGTACACAACAGATTAGACACTTAACTCAGCAGCAGCTGCTTTTGCAACAGCGGAAGCTATCTCCTGGTCAGAAGGTAACACAGCTCACACCAGTTAAGGGTGGAGTTCCAACCCAGTTGCTTGTGCAATCCCCAAAACCTATGGGGGCGATGACTGTTCAGCAAATTCAACAGGTGAGCAGAGAACTGGCATTTTACAATATTTTTTTGTTTGTTTTTAGAATGTAAATCAAATGAAATATTTTGTTTTGTCTATCATTTTATCAGGCTATGAAAAATGTGCCAGTAGCAGTATCATCAGCAGGGAATGCTGGCCAAGTGATTTCCCAGGTGTTGGCTAAAGGCCAAGTGACTGCTGCTGGCAGGGTAATCCCAGTGGCAACATCAGGAACTGCACAAGCCGTGCAACGACAAGCAGTGCAGGTCACTATTAGAAGCTTCTCAAAATTCACAATCCTCTCATTTGGTAGGTGATGTTAAATTTCTCTCTTGCCTGTGACAGGTTGTTGCAGCATCACCAGTGACTGCAGCACGGACACCTGTTTTGGATTCGAGTGGCCGTCCCCAAGTTAGCATTGCCTCCACCTTAGCCTCTGCTCTGGCTGGAAACATCAAGGTCACCCAATCATCCCAGCAGGCCATTCTCTCACAGGTAAAAATCATGTTGAACAAGTTACATTGTTGCTGTTCCTTCTTGACTTGTATTCAAATTGACCTTTGTTTGGGCTTTTGTATTAATTTTTTATCCCTCTCCACCAAGGTATCTGCTGCACTGCAGTGCCAGCCTGGTATGGTACCAGTTTTGCGCCAAGCAACGCAGAGTCCTGTCCGTATTCAAACATCCAGTGGTGTTGGCACCCCCATCATGGCAGTGGCAGTCCAACAGTCCCAAGGACAAGGGACGTCCACAGTGGTTACTACACAGCAGCAACTCCAGCACCTACAACTGCAGTTGCAGCAGCAGCAGGCTGCTCAACAGAGCAGCCAGTCGTCCTCCTCATCTGATTTGGTAAGAAACTTCTTTGTATTTAAGTGTAAGTAAGTCCCCTTTTCACTTTGACACTAAATTCTTTAATTCCATTTATTTTATTTCCAGGGCCAACAATGATCCTTACTGGCAAAATCTGTTCTTCCTTGTTTACCTTATTGGGTCCGACTCAATCCCTAACAATATAGCTGTAGCAATACGTCTTCACACATTTTTGCAGTACGTAATGCTAACTGTTCTGTTTTTGTTTTTTTTTTTAAAGCAAAGAATTGTTGAAGATTCGTCTTTTGATTCGTCACTTCTCGGAAATTTGTGTTTTGATGTAAGTCGATGAAGTTAATGTTAATGAAGCACCTTTGTACCTCTTTTTTTTTAATTTCCCAGTATTTCGCTAGTATGTCTTTTATGGAAGTCAGGGTACACTAGAATGAGCAAATGAGGGTTACCCATTTTACCATGGAGCTCCCTGTTTCAGGATTCCAGGGATGAAGTTTGGTAACTTCTCTCTTGTAAGCTATCACTTGTGAGAGTTGCTCTTGTTTTTTTTTTTCTTTGTGTGTGTTTCTTTTCATGGTTTCTGACAAATTCCATATATGCTGTTAAAAGTTACCAGATGGTCTAAAATTTGTGATTTTATTTTTATGATACTTTCAAGTGTATCCATCTTTATCACATGCTGTATTTACTGAGAGCTTTTGAAACCAGTGCAGTGAAACTGAAGGAAAAACTGGAAGTTAAACAATTTAGCCTAATTTGCTGTGTCCAAGCCCCTGATGGTGTGTATGTAATATTTCAACAAAACCTGTCCAAATGATGTGACTTGCTTTTACTGCAAAATGCAGAAGCTGAAGAAGTATTCTGGTTTTCTGGGTTCTACATTTTTCCTTTGAATCACAACTTGTCAATTATTTGCTTGAAATAAGTCTGTCGAGCCTTTCTTCAAATTAGTCTCTCTGCGTGCTGTTAATATCCGTCCTGGATACTTGAAGCCCATTTTAACTCTGGTAAGGTGTGTTGATGATAATGATACCCTTATTTCTAGTCTAGATCACCGGCAATAATGCAAACAAGTCTATAATATTTTTCTGACCTTTTAATGAAGTAGGTGTAGGATTTTAAGATTTTTAAAAAAAGTGAGATTGTAAATATGTAAATAAGATAATGTGAATTTGAAAAGATGCTTCGATAGGCATGTGTTTGTATCAAATGCATCCTTGTGTGCAGATATATTATCCTTAACTACATAGACTCACTCTGCTTTTTGTGAAAGCACTTTCAGTGAAATTAATATATTACAATTGTATTATATGAGTGAAACCATTGACGTCAGGTGAAAAGCGACTGCTTTTAAAATGTAATAAATTATTTATGAATGTGTTTCATTTTAATGTAAATTTCTGTACAGTTAATTTAGGATTTTGCAAATACATTATTTTCTGTAACTATGTGTGTGTGTTATTTCATAGCAAGTTTAAGAAAGATCCTTAAGACAGATGTCAATATCCATTCTACATAAAAGGAAGTAGAATCAAAGAAAACAACAATTTATTCCTGAGACAGCAAAACTACACATTTTGATGTATCCCTTCTCATTCAACAATTCTCTTTCTCTCTCCATCCCATTCTTCAGGATTTATATCATAGTCCCTCATTTTTCTGCTAATCATCCACCACCGACCAAGAATACCAACATCTATAATTCTTTCATGAAAACTCAGATACTTTGGTTCTAAAAACTTACAATGTGCAGCATATAGTCCAACAGCTTGGTCGTAATTATCCAACCACATTATGGAACAAACACCAAGGTTCAGTCTACGTAAGATACCAGTATTGTGACATGACTCCAAAAATGAAAAGTGTGAACTAGACTCCTTGTTTCGGATAGAGTCTGGTAAAGATGCTATATCGCCAGCAGCTACAAGGCATCGTTCCCTGAAGCTGAGTTCATCTGGATTGGTCTTCATACAGTAGTACCATGCCCAAAATCCTTCAACATAAGAGAAACACAAAGTCATTCGCCTGTCAATTGATAACTTTCCAAGAAATGCTTTTGTCTGCAATTACCCCACGCATAAGCCAGAGCTTTCTTTGGACGTTGCTTGATGTTGTTAGATGTTTCCTTAATCACTTCGCCATAATCCCGTAAAAGATTCACACAAAAATTCCCTGAAATAAATAAACAAGGATAAATGAATTACGTACCATACACCTGGAGAAAACAAATGAAACCGACATTACCTAATTTTTCAAATTTTGTCCCTTTTAACCTTTCAGGTACTTCAAGAGTGAAGGAAAATTTAGCTTTAAGATTGTTATACTTAGTTGATATTCGATTCGGTATAAACTTTCGGACAATATAGGACCCCATTGTCATACTAACGTTCAAAGACAAGGGTCATTTAATTCAAAATATTAAAAATATCTTTAAAACTTCATGTTTTGTGTTTTCACCCGTGTCCGTGTGTTCTGCAGTGCTTGAGAGCTGACTGAGCTGACTCTGTATTGACAGTGAGACTGCGAATAACACTGAATGAGAATGCACATCGCTAGGAGTGCGAATAAGAAAATTTACCAATCATACAAACTCTAAAAAGTTCTTGTAAAAGAGAAAACAGTCTTTTCTTGACATCATTTTCAACATTCTTGTCATGAGCATTAATCCGATAATTCAATTTAATGACCTTATGGGATTTTAAGTGTACTGCCTCAAAAAAGTTGCGAAAACATTACTGTTGTTTTCGTGTTCTTAAGGTGGCGTTTTCGTTGTGTCAGAAGTGTCAGAAGTCACTAGTACGCCGACAAGTAAAGGCAAGACGGCGAACCAGTTCATTCACTTTTCACGTTGATATTTCTTGAGTTAAACACTTCAAAATGACGAACACCGAGGTTAGCGAAGTAAAACCCCAGAAGGACAAGGTTGAAAAGAAAAAGGAGGAAGAGAAGACTGAATTGGTAAGAATACCGTGATGTCTTTGTCGTTAAGTTTTGAGGTTAAGTGACAAAGCGATAGTTTGACACATTACAACAAAACCGTTTTACTTGTTTGCTAAACTCCTATTTGCTGTGATATTTGTACGATTTTATTTCTGGTATCTACTTGACCTCAACCATCCTTTTTTAGTTCGTTTACCAGCCTATTTTCTCATTATTATTGAGTCATTCATAGGCCATGACAAAGCTGCTTGTGTGTCAGTATTCCTCTGATGTACGGTTTTGTGTATTTACATTTTGTTGTTTTCTTTTCTCCAGTCTGAAGAGGACAAAGTGCTTCAAGAGGAATTAAATATGCTTGTGGAGAGGCTGCAGGTACTTGTGTAACTTCATTCATTGTATGAATGGCACCTGTAATGTTCCTCATAACAGCTTCATTGTTTTTCAGGAAAATGACACATCTTTGTACATACCTGCTCTGGAAAGTTTACGGTCTCAAATTCGTGCCTCCACAACATCAATGACAAGTGTTCCTAAACCATTGAAATTCATGCGCCCTCACTTTGATACCATGAAGGAAATATATGAGAAAATAACGGATCCTCACACTAAAGAACTTTCAGCTGATGTTGTCTCAGTCCTGGCTATGACCATGTCAGATGGGAGGGATTGCTTGAAGTACCGGCTGCTTGGTACCAAAAATGAAATTGCCAATTGGGGACATGAATATGTTAGGTATGTTCAAGAGTAGCATTGGAAACTATGGGCTTCATCTCAGAGCACCATTTCTCTACATTTTCCTTCAGTATATCAGTTTAAAGCAATAATTATTTTAATTTCCTATTCAGGCACCTCTCTGGAGAAATTGCTGCGGAATGGGCAGATCTCCCTGTAGGTGATGCTCAAGCACGGAAGAATCTTGTAGACCTCGCTGGTGAAATTATTCCATACAACATGGCTCACAATGCCGAAGCAGATGCTTGTGATCTTCTCATGGAAATTGAACGTTTGGATCTGCTGCAGCAGTATGTGGATGAAAGTGCCTATCCTCGTGTGTGCCTGTACCTCACCAGCTGTGTGCCCTACGTCCCAGATCCAGAAAATACAACTCTTCTGACAACTGCTCTAGATCTTTTCCGGAAGTTTAATCAGTACCCTCAGGCTCTTCGACTTGCCATGCAACTGAACAACCACACTCTAATTGAAGAGATTTTCACATCATGCCCTGACCTCGCCATGCAAAAGCAGCTTGCGTTCATGCTTGGCCGACAGCAAATCTTCCTTGAGCTTAATGAAAGCACACCTGAATATGATGAATTGATGGAAATCATGTCTAATGGTCACTTGAACAACCACTTCTTAAATCTAGCTCGAGAGGTTTGTATACATCTGTTAAAATTCGGATTCATGCAAAAATTTTCTGCTCAAGTTAATTCTTACTTCCTTTCACCCTATCTAGTTGGATATTATGGAGGCAAAGACACCAGAGGATGTGTACAAATCTCATTTGGATGCCCGACCTCAATTTGGGGGTGGTCAGGTTGACTCAGCGCGTCAAAATCTGGCTGCCAGTTTTGTTAATGGTTTCGTCAACACTGCATTTGGACAGGACAAACTCCTTAAATCTGAGGGAAACAAATGGATGTACAAGAACAAGGATCATGGTGGGTATTATTCCTCTCCATCTGAATATACTAGTTAAGCATTTATCTGAATAACTCAACAATCCATTGGTCTCTGCAACAGGTATGCTCAGTGCCACAGCTTCATTGGGGCTGATCCTTCTTTGGGATGTTGACGGAGGTCTTACTCCTATTGATAAATACTTGTACTCATCGGAAGATTATATCAAGGTTAGCTTGTCTGAAGTTTTTGTAGTCACTTGGTTTGTGGTAAACAAATTTCTAATCAAGTGCATTTTTTTATTTTTTTCAGTCTGGTGCTCTTCTGGCATGTGGTATTGTAAATTGTGGTGTCAGGAATGAGTGTGATCCTGCTCTTGCTTTGTTGTCTGATTACGTTTTACATCAAAGCAATGTAATGAGAATTGGTGCAATTATCGGTAAGATGGTTAAGATGCGGAGAGAGCGATTGAGTCTTGGATTGGTCTATTATTTTTAATCCTGTCATGTTTTTTTGTGTTTATAGGCCTGGGTTTGGCTTATGCTGGCTCTAACAGGGAGGCAGTTCTTAGTCTCCTCACACCTGTTCTTAGTGATCCAAAATCAACAATGGAAGTTGTTGGTTTGGCTGGTATGGCATGCGGAATGATTGCCGTTGGTTCCTGTAATGCTGATGTAACCGATGCTATTGTACAGACTTTAATGGAACGCACTGAGGCTGACTTAAAAGATACCTATGCCAGATTCCTTCCTCTGGGACTGGGACTTTGCCATCTAGGTAATTTTTTAAATATTATTTCACTGTTGAACTAATGTATTCTGTCACAAATTGTTTAAGAGCTAATATTTTAACTTGTTGCTACCATTGCAGGGCGTCAGGAAGCTGTTGAAGCTATCATTGCTGCCCTTGAGGTGATCCCAGAGCCATTTAAATCAATGGCAACCACTCTGGTGGAAGTGTGTGCTTATGCTGGTACTGGCAATGTGTTGAAGATTCAGCATTTGCTGCACATTTGTAGTGAGCACCATGAGCCCAGTGACAAGGTATGATTTTATTGCCGTCTTTCACTTTTCACCCAGAAATGTTTTTAGTTTTTCACTCTTGACTTCTCTGTTTCAAATTTAGGAAGAGACAAAGGACAAGAAGGATGACAAGAGCAAAAAGGATGACAAGAAAGATGATAAAGAGAAAGATTTTACCTCCAAGCAAGCTGTTGCTGTTTTGGGTATCGCTCTTATTGCCATGGGTGAAGACATTGGTTCGGAAATGGCATACAGATCATTTGGTCACCTGGTATGAAACTAAAACTTCAAAATAATGTTTCTAGATTATATTTTCTTCAAATTTGGGGGAAACTTATCTATTTTGTGTCTTGTTTCAGCTGCGCTATTGTGAACCTGCTATTAGAAGGGCTGTGCCTTTGGCATTAGGTCTAATCTCTGTCTCAAACCCAAAGCTTTCGATTTTGGACACCTTAAGTAAATTTTCCCATGACAGTGATGCAGAAGTAGCCCACAATTCAATCTTTGCGATGGGACTGGTTGGAGCAGGCACAAACAATGCCAGGCAAGCTTAAAATTTTATAGAAATGAGTTTGTGTAACTTTGACTGATATACATATTGACATAATTATTTTTGTTATGTAGGTTAGCAGCCATGCTCAGACAGCTTGCCCAATTCCATGGCAAAGATCCCAACAATCTGTTTATGGTGCGCATTGCACAGGGTCTAGTCCATCTAGGCAAAGGTACCCTTACTCTTAGCCCATACCACAGCGACCGGCAGTTACTGTCTCCAGTAGCATTGGCTGGATTGTTGGCAACACTTGTCAGTTTTCTTGATGTCAAAAATAGTAAGTTCACTTAATTGACATTTTATTCCTTATGACTATAATGCTATTTCATTTTTCTGTGAATAATGGGGATTTGTTGTTCTTTTATAGTTATTCTCGGCAAATCCCACTACCTCTTGTACACTCTGGCAGCTGCTATGCAGCCTCGTATGTTAGTTACATTTGATGAAGAATGTAACCCATTAGCTGTGCCTGTGCGAGTTGGTTTGGTACGTATCATTACCTGTTGTTGGTGAGAAATATTTGAACATCTACACTAAATTGCCTATTTCTTAACTTATTTCTTTCCTTTTCTTTTCCCCTGCAGGCTGTTGATGTTGTGGGTCAGGCTGGTAAACCAAAGACTATCACAGGATTCCAGACTCATACAACCCCTGTCCTCCTAGCCCATGGTGAACGAGCAGAGTTGGCAACTGATGAATATATTCCCTTGTCTCCAATTATGGAAGGTTTTGTAATCTTGCGTAAAAACCCAGAATTCGAACCATAAATTTCAAACTCTTTATTAATTTTTTATGCAAGTTTAATTTAACAAAATATCTTGGAACACTAATTTTTTACTTCCTAAAACTGACCCTCATGCTGAATTTTCAATGCGTTTCAGCATTTATGTACTGATTTGGATGAGTTCTGTGTTTAGTCTTTGAATCCTCGATTGAAACAGCAGATTTAAGAGACTCTTTTAGTGTATATGTTCATTTAAGCAAATCACACTTAGAATAGGTATTATGTTTGAGTATTTCTACTTTGTACAAACTCTGATCATTAAATGCTACATAGATCTAATCCTTTATTTCATTTCTTAATGTACAATTTATAAAATACTGTCTTATGAATTCAGTCTACAAGGCACATATTAATTGCAATTTTTTGGGGAGTACAGATTAAATGTTCTTTTTTTCAACTTTAACTGTTAAGTATTTTGTCAATCATATTCTGTAGTAAAGGTCTGTAACATGGTAAACCATATATATATCATCTATAATCTCAATTAAGTTTCAAATGTAAATCACAGCTCACTCACTTTTCTCCAGACTGCGGGACAGATGACATGGTTGACTTAAAAACTTCTTCAGGAACTGGTGAGCCTGGCAACCCACTCTCTGAGGGAAAAAATTAGTTGTATTTATCTGCTACTGTCATTGGTGCATTTTTTGGGATGGAGTTTTACAGTTCAATCACCTGTGCATAAGACTGAAGCAGTTTTGTGGAGTCCGACAGATTCCAAATATTGGCGTATTAGATGATTTGCAAGAATGATTTCTGGCGGCATTGTTGGTTTGCTAAATCTGGTTGTAATTGCATTGTTCTGTCCAGACACCATCTGTTCTTCCAGCTGAGCTCTTACTTCTGACAAGTCACCCTTGTCATCCAGAACACACTTCATGGCTGGTAGGAAAGAGAGCATTACATAAGTGGCGGGCTCACACAACCAGTTATGCCCCGAGGCAGAACATCAGGGGTTTATTCTAATCACCTTTTGCCAAATCATTGCTGCTCGTCATTGCGGGGTTCCCAAAAAAACTGAAGTGACAAGTTGTTGACATCCTCTTGTCTTGCCCTCCGCCGTGTAAACAAATCGGTAACTATGGCGACAGCGGCTACGCGGTGTTCCCCCCTCCCCACCTCTTTCGGACTCCGTTTGACTTCTCCCACCGTTTCTTTCGATTGATGAGGTGACAGTAGAGTAATCTTTCATCGGATGTGACCGGCTGACCTCTGGAGACGCCCTACCTTGCCCCCCTCTCTCCCCCTTTCCCCCTTTCTTAAAAAATCTTAGACACGCGGACATCTCTGCACTGTACCATTCAAGTCACGGCGTTGCAGCAGCAGACTGAGCTCGCGTGCTCACATGGGACGGCACAGAATCTTGTCTTCAGTGTGTGTGTGTGAGTGCGCGCGCTTCCCGACCTTGGCATGGCTCGTTTGCAACGTCACCGCACTGGATGGATGTGATTGTGATGTCCGAGTACTACCGAATCGCTATCATCGAGAGATGAAGATACCCAGCTCATGAACCTCTTGACGGACTGAATGCTTTCCTGGCGAGCCACCTGCCTAACCTAACCTTTGTTCCATTCTTTTAAAAATATTTTGCAGTTGAAAACACGGGCTTGTGTCTCCACGTGCCGCACGGCGCACTCCGCAAAACCATCGCGGCCGCGTCGCCCTGTCTCCAATACCAATCAAACCGCCAAATCCGTGTCCTTGACGCTATCAGGATGTCAGAGGCGAACCCAGACTGAAGCGTTTCGATTGAAGATGCAATCGCGTGCTAGAATGTGGCGGCAGCTGCGGCTCGCGAGGGTTGTGTCATTCCCTCGATAAGCGGCGCGCTGCGCTGTCACGCTGTGCGCGCCGTGCGTGGAGCAGCCAGGCAGGCGTTGGCGGTGGAGGACCATGGAGGCGCTAGGACGCAGGCATGCCCCATCATCGAGTGCTCCTCGGCGTACCTCGTTCGTCTCGGCCACAGCGGCCACGGCACCGTAAGGTCCGGTGTCCACCGCGGGCTCCGCGGCCCGGGTCCTCCTCATCAGCTCATTTTCTACTCGAGGGCCGTCTAGTCTGGGGCAGATAGACGTTTGAAGTGGTGGTGGGGGGAATGACTAGAGGATCCTCCGGCAGGGGTGCCAGCCCGACAACCGGGAAGTCCCTCCGGCCTGCGCTGCCCGGCCGGCTCGGACAATCCATGCTTCCCTCCAGCAGCAGTTTTCGACGGTTTCCTCAATGATGTTCGCTGTCGAACAGAAGGCGTTGCACCCGGCTGGCTACGGCGGCATGCGGGGGGACCCGCGCGGGAAACATTCCGATGTTCGTCGGAGGTTGGCACGCCTGCCACTAATGGACACTGACACTCCGACACTGATAGCAGACGGCTCCGTCGTGGTGCCTCCTCGAGGCACATCACCGTCGTAACTTGTCGGCAGCGCTTGGTTAAGTCTGTCGCAAAGTTATGTTGCACTCGTAATTTGTCAAGTTGCCGTTCTGACACGCGGCCCATTTCTTCCCAAATTTGAAACGTAGTGAGAAACAGCCCCAACATGCATCCAGGTATTCCCATAGCCGGTGTTTTCATCGGCTGCGGCATCAACGTAGTCTTCCTGGAACTCCTTGTCAAGTAAGTTTTTGGAAAGTGTGCGGGAATGGACCATGTTTTTAAGTGATCGGTCCTGATAGGGCTCCCCTTGGTATTATGGAAACACGGTGCTACTTGAATATCCTTCCGTCATGGCTCACCAAGGAATTATTTAAGGTTAAAATATATTTTTAATGCCACTTTTGGCTCTGTTGTTTTGTTGTGCAATGCAAAATTTAAAAAATAATTATGAACTCTCTTTACAATACCCATGACCTTAGTGGAGTTCACTTAAAAAATGTAACATCACACTTATCCCACTATATTTTATTCACAAATGATTTGCTTGCAACTTATGCATAATTTATGCTTATGGTCAACAACATCAAATTGTTCACTTCTTTTCCCCAGCGATTTGACTTTGTTAAATCGTGCTACTGTCACATTAATTTTTTCTGTCTCTAATTCTTTTTGATTTTGTTATTCCCAGGCAGGATCCAGGAAGCGGAAACCTTGTTACATTCACCAGTTTTTTCTCAATTGCATTGATTGGATTTGCTTTTACTGCCAAATTTGGAACCGTCAAGCCAAAGATAGGATTAAGGTAACTACCATTTGATAATCTTATCATTATTTTCTTATGTCATGTCTTCAAGACCCGAGTGTGTCAAAATTTTGGATGTTTGGGAAGAAAAAAAGTTACATGTTAAATAATGTCTTAAATAGGGAAATTTAAAAAAAATTAATTTAACTGTTATCTTTCCACACTAGGGATTACTTCATTTTGGTGCTCATGTTCTTTGCATCAAGTCTCTGCAACAATTATGCATTCAACTTTAACATACCCATGCCTCTACATATGATATTCCGAGCTGTAAGTAAACAGAAAATGTTTAATAAGGTGTTTCTCCTCAAGCTCATGTTTCTCCTCAAGCTCATTTTACTCCTTTGCAATTAATTTTTACTTTGTTTTTACTCTTGTAGGGGTCTTTGATTGCCAATATGATAATGGGCATTATCATATTGAAAAAGAAGTACACTCTCTCTAAGTACCTGTCTGTGGCCATGATCTCATTGGGTATTGTTATTTGTACCATTATGTCAAGTACAGAAGTGGTAAGTAAAGACAGCTAACTCTCTTTTAGCACTGCTTTTAGTATATTTTCTTATCTTTTTATTATGACAAATTGAACTCTAAAAAAATCAATGTCCTTCAGAAATCAACGGTGCCCCCACCTAAAGATGGATCTCCTATTGTTCCCACTACTCCTTATGAAGATATGTTCTGGTGGACTTTAGGTAAGTTAAACGAATGGAATTTTCATTGTGGAGACAATTTTGAATCAGAACAGTTTACTTTCTGTCTGACCAATATTTAACCATATTTTTTTAAAACATCCTTCCTTTCATAGGAATTATTCTCCTCACTGTGGCCTTGTTCATTTCTGCAAGAATGGGTATCTATCAAGAAGTTTTGTTTGCAAGATATGGAAAGCATTCTCAGGAAGCATTGCTTTACACGGTAATTATTTTTTTACAGTGGTCATTTTTATTTTAACAAGTGTCCATCTATCTATTAATATCAATTTTTTTTTTCAGCACCTTTTGCCACTTCCTCTATTTCTCCTGCTTGGTGGCAATCTCTGGGAACATATGTCAATGGCAATAGATTCAGACCCTTATGAGATAACAGGTCTTGGTTTTACAATTCCAATCATGGTACTGTATCTCATTGGTAATGTGGTTTCACAGTACTTGTGCATCAGCTCAGTTTACAGGTTGACCACAGAGTGTTCTTCACTAACAGTTACATTAGTGCTTACCCTGCGTAAATTTGGGTCTCTGGTATTCTCATTAGTATATTTCAAAAATCCATTTACTGTAGCCCATTGGATTGGTACCATTCTTGTCTTCCTTGGTACTTTGATATTTACTGAAGTTCCTCAAAAGGCGCTGGGTGCTTTATCACCTGCTGAGGGGAAGAAAGAAAAGGAGGTCAAAGAAAAGGCCAAACAAAAGAAGAAAAACTAATGTCAATTCTACTTCAATTTTTAATTTATATCAATCATTCTTCATGTATGTGGCTACTGTTCATTGTTTTTGCCACTTCATGTTGAAGAAGGTAAACTAAGTGGAGACTCAGGATAGCTAATCTATTCACCAAAGAAATGCTCCAACAACAATGAGAACCCACAGTATTCTATTTTAAATAGTGCAATATTTTAGTGTTTGAAAAATTTGCAGTACTGCAGTACTGCTCTTTTGTTTGTTGTCACAGATTTTATGATTGATATGGATAGAGCAGCAATGCTGTAACAGTAGGGCTAGTATTCTTTCCGTAGCAATTAACAAAATATGGTACAAAAATGTTTTTATAAGATTTTTAGTGACTGTGTTATATTTGTACTTTTTGTGTGCTTTTTGATCATTTTTAGCCCCCCTTCCAATCAAAAATATGGGGAGGACGTATGGGTATGCCTTCACTGTCCAAGAAGCACCCAAAAATTATTTTTACTTACAAAACTATGTTTGGATGTTTATGAAATGTTTTAACCCGAAGGTTCCACTGCCTCGAGTGGAGTGCAATAAAGAACCAGCTGACCGCGTAGAACAGAGTTGCCCTCCCTCTTTGCACCTTGTCGCTACCCCACGCCTCGAGGCCACTTTCGCGAGGGGCCTCTGCGCGCGGGGTATCGCCGCCGAGTGCGGGCCGCGGCTGGAGGGCCTGCCTTCTGCCTTAACCGTCGGCAAAAGTCCGTGAAGAGCCAACAAAGGGCGGACAGAAGAATGAAGCGCGAGAGCCGATCGTACGGAGGTGGATTTGTCGCGCCCGGGACGTGGCACCCTTTTCGGCACGGCGGCAAGGCGGCCTGGCGCTTCAGGGGGCGGGGGGAGGGGAGGGGGGCCCCCTCCTCCACTACACTGGGTGTCGAGCGGTGCATTTCGGGGCCGAGGCTGAGGTTGGGGCTCGCCCTGAATTTGGCGTTGTTGCAGACTCGTGCCCGGCTCGTCTCGTACGGCAGCAGACTGATTCCGAGAGTCGTCTTCGTCGCTGTCTCTCTCGCACTAAGGGGGTGTCCCGTTTGGGTGCGAGAGAGACAGCGACGAAGACGACTCTCGGAATCAGTCTGCAGAGCTAGAGACCAGGTGGAGCGGGTGGGATGACGCCAGCGAGAGTGGCACTCGACTGTGATGAGTTGGAGGTGGACTCACAAGATTTGGCACTCCACTGTGATGAGTGGAAGGTGGACCAAGGGAAAGATAATTCATTAAACACGCGCTGCGCTGGTGCACTGAGAATCCAAACGCTATGAGTATAGCGTCAATTGGTGCAATGCAAAAGCATTGCACATGAAGTGCAATGCCTCCCTATTCCCATGCATTAGCATAGGGCTTTTTCGGGATGCATTGCACGTAAGGTGCAATATGGCTGAGGCATTGCACGTATGGTGCGATATCTCAGCTGCATTGCACCATACGTGCTATACTCATAGCGTTTGGAATCTCAGTGTGGTTTCGGGTTTGGATTAAATGACGGCATCGCACAGTGGATTCGCCAGAAGACCGGCGCAGGCGGCCAAAACTCTAGACGCGTTTCGAGCTCCAGAGTCGCTAAGCAGGCCTCGAACCGAACGAGTGACCCCACCAATGGATTCCTCGTTCGGAGAGCAATCCATTGGTGGGGTCACTCGTTCGAGTCCCATTTAGCGACACTGGAGCTCAAAACGCGTCCGGGACTTTGGCCGCCTCCGCCGGTCTTCTGGCCCACTGTGCGCTCCTCGCTCGACTCGCGGCGCGGCCCGTGGCCCGGCCATCGGGTGTCGCATACAAAAAGGCTGTCATTCACGACACGCGTCAAAAGCCAACGTCATCGCCTTGAAAGTCCCCGGCGTTTCCTAAAAACCAAAACGAAAACGCCAAACAAACAACGACAAAGAAACGCCGCAGCCGCCGCAGCTTGTCCAGCCCAAGGGCGAGAGGAGAGGAGAGGCGGGAGCCAAGTCCGGGGTAGGTCGCTCCGCCAGGCAGCGCTGTGTTGCGGGCCGGCCTACCCCGCTTTTCGCAGGCGGACTCGACTCGCGTGGCGACGCGGATGTTTGAAATGTCGCGAACCCCTTGAATGTTTATTAGGGTTGCACACCATAAAACGCGGTCCAATGACGACACTCATTCTGCCTGTATGACAGTGGACCGGCGGGGCGCGGTGCCTCCGCCGCTGTCGTCAGCGTAAGCGACGTAAGCTTCGCGAGCGCGCCCTCCTCCCATCCTCATTGCTACATCAAACACGCCAAGTTCCAACAAAGTCATCTGATGGCAAACCGTGACACTCGGAACGCGTCCTGATTCCGTCCAAATGTTGCCCGTGGTGACACTGTGCGTTTCTCGCGCTTATCGGGCCCCGCGCCGGCAAACCAAAACCACTATGCGGCGTCGCGGCGCGCGCTGCGGGCTGCCTCCGAGCGTCTCTCGCTCTGTCTCTCTCGCACCCCTCCGAGGCGCCACTCGAGTGCGAGCGAGACAGAGCGGCGAGAGCGCAGCCTGCTTTCGGCAGAGTACTCTCACGCACGTTGCCAAGGGCTGCCTTGCCTATCCCGTGCGTATCAGGCGGGGGGAGGGGGGGGCGGCCACTTATTTGCCAATCTCTCATAATATTCAGGAGCTGTTGCTGGCCATGGCGGGGCGGGGCGGGGCGCCGGGGCGTGCGGTGGGCGCCGTGTCCTTTGGAGCGCCCCGGGGCCCCCGGCCGGGCCTCGCAGCGCCGACAGCAGACACCGCCTGGAGGCCTGTAGACACAATGCGACGCCTACTAAAGGCGACAACAACGGCTGGAACGCTCTGTAGACTCATTCCGATAGTCGTCGCTCTGTCTCTCTCGCACTCAAGGGGCGTGCCCTATAGGTGCGAGAGAGACAGTGACGACTCTCGGAATGAGTCCGCTGGGGGTGAACGCGCTCGCGGCGAGGCCGCGCGCTTTCGACCAGCGCGCTGTCTCTCTCGCCCTTCAGCGGGACGCTCCGTGAGTGCGAGAGGGACCGGGCGGGTTGTGACGTGGTCCCTACGAGGGCAAATGGCGAATGCGCTCGTCGTCACGGCACTGCCAAGGCACCGCCCCGGCGATGTGCTCGACTGCCAATCGGCAGTGCGGCGGCGCGGCCGCTCCGTGGCGCCTCGAAGATAAGCGGCATCCACGTGGCGCCCGTGGCGGTGACGCGGCCCTCTCTGCCACGCCGCGTCGCCGCGCTCCGCCACCGTCTTGGAGAAGCGCACTTGCTGCACCTGACGACACTGATACACTGATAGTGGCGCCGGTTACGCCACATGAGCGTGATTGGCCTTTCGGCTTTCGCACTCGCGCTGTCTCTCTCGCACTCGCGGGCCGCGCCGTGCCCGCAGTGCTTCTTTAGCGGCTCCCCCGGCAGCCGGCGCACGCGTGGGCGGCCGGCGATACCCCTTGACTGCGGAATGGCGCGGGGTATCGAAGCGGTGACGCGATGCGTGTGCCCCAGTGTGTCCGCCCAGGTTGGCGACAGAGTGACTGGGGACTGGGCGGCCTGGGTAACACACGACACGCGACTTTCTCTCTCCCTCTCCCTCCCTCCGCCGGACGGACGCACGGACTTTCTTCCGGCCACCACACTGCCACCGATGACGCGGCACGCGGCGGGACGGCGGCTGGGCCGGCGGCGTGGTCGTCATGACGGCGATCAAGTGTTATCGGAGAAAGGAAAGGGGGCACCTTTTACCTCAGCGTCTCTCTCTCTCTCGCACTCGTGGGACGTCCCGTATGGTTGCGAGAGGGACGGCCTGCCCGGTGTGCACCGACAGTCCACACTGGGCCTCTGATCTGGCCTTCCCTCGCGACGTACCCGACACTGGAAGCACGTTTCGATAGTATCGATACAGCGACGCCGGTGTATTTCGGGAGCGGGGGCGGCGCGTCGCGCCACTGTCGCCGTGCGTCCCATGCGGCCCTTCCTGCGACAGGCCGGGCTGCACCGGGCGGCGCGGCACACCGGCAGGGCAACCAGGCCGCCAGCCACTTAGGACCCATGCGCTACCACGCAACACGACGCGACTGCCGCCCCGCCGGTCCGCCCGGCCTGCCGCCAAACATACTTTGCAAACCCATTCCTGCTGACTGATTCCGCCCCGCCCTCTCTCTCCCTCTGTCACACTGTACGGCGTGGGGGTGCGAGAGAGACAGGGCGCCGACACACTGTGTGGAATCAGTCCACCAGAGTCCTTGGTTAGGACTGTATTGTTTACCGACCCTCACCCAGAGCCACACGCACAGTGGGCCAGAAGACCGGTAGCGGCAGACGAAACTCAAGTCGCGTTTTGAGCTCCAGAGTCACTAAGCAGGGCTCGAACCGAACGTGTGACCCCACCAATGGATTCCTTGTTCAAAGAGCAATCCATTGGTGGGGTCACACGTTTGATTCGAGTCCCATTTAGCAACGCTGGAGCTCAAAACGCTACTAAAGTAGTTCTGGCCACCTCCACCGGTCCTCTGGCCCACTGTGACACGGCCACGCAACGAGCACAGTGTAAATCCCTCCCGAACCACCCAAAGTCCCGAAGTGTGCCGCGCGCCTCACCTCTCCTCGAAGGCCGCCAAGGCCACCAGGGCGACCGAGCGCGCAGACCGCCTCTCGTTGTGTAAGCCGCACGACAAACTCACGCCTAAGTTGGCAAAAGTGTCAATACCTCCCCTCCAAAAAACAGAAAAAAATGGCGGCAAAAACAAAAGAGTGAGGCTCGCCTGCGCCGCGCGGCGCCGCATAGCGCACGGTTGCGTCGGTTACGCCTTCCATTTTCCACGGAAATTACTCCAGGCCGCCCTGCCTGGCCCCGCCGCTCCGGTTCCTTTAAGGTGGCAATGTTGGCGGCATTGATCAGCCAGAGCGGCTGGAACGGCCCGGCACTCCAACAATCGACTTGCCAGTGGTGTGGGCTGCCGGGCCGCGCTGGCCGCCCTGCCGGCGTTTATCTCCATCCACTGTTTCGCTTTGCGCTTGCCGCCTGGCCGGGCCGCCTTGCCGCTCGCACCATGCTCGCGCCGCGCCGACAGGTCGACACGTTGTTCGATGTTCGATCTCTCGATAAGATGCCTCGCGCCTTATCGGCATCGTTTATCTCGACAGCGAGAAGTAGAAGAAGAAGAAGCGGCAAAGGGCCGTCGAGCCTGTCATCACGGGCCGCCCTATTTGCAGGTCATTTCGCAGAGGGCGCCCCGCCCCGCCCCGCCCCGCCCCCAGGCTCTTGAAGGGTTCCGAGCGACCAATGGGAGCGCGCCAGGCCATGACGTGCCGTGCCCTGCCTTGCCTGTCATCGCGCACTTGTGCAACCTGCACGCGTGTGGCGTTCGCAGGAGACTGATTCCGAGAGCCGCTGTCGTCGCTCCGTCTCCCTCCAACCTTTGCGGGACGTCGATGAGTGCGAGAGAGACAGAGCGACAACCTGCGGGGCGCAAGTGCCTGCAAGTGCCGCGATGCACAAGAGGCCCCACGATCCGATTCACGCGCCGACTTCGCCAACCTCATTGGACGGCAGCTAGGCCGAGCGGGCTATGGACGCCGCCGTGGCCACGCGTGGAACCAGCCGAACCAG